TTTTTTAAGTTGTGTTGTAAGCGGAACCCTAAAATAATGCTTTCTCGAAAGCTGACGTATGTGATAAGTGATAAGGTAAGATTTACCGCGAGCTTGACCACAGTTAGCTGAGGAGTGAGGATATACTTCAAACTCCGGAGAATAATGCTACTGAGCCTCTCTCACTCCAGCTCAATGGCTAACCGTCCATTTTATCAAAATATCACCAAGCACCGATACGTATGTAATATGAGCGTACCAAAATTTAAACTAGGAGCAAGATATAAACGTTTTATTGAAAAAGCAAAGCATGCAAAAGACATGTGCCGACTTAAAAGTACAAAAGAAGACAAGAAGAAGCAGAGCCAAGCTGCTTTCAAATGGCAGAGTGACTCGTGCGGTTCTCGGTTCCCCGCGAGGTTTTCCTGAACTGACAGAACAGCTGCCTCGGCTGTGTCGTCCGACTGCAGACGGACGGTCTCGGCTGTGTCGTCCGACTGCAGGGGACGGTCTCGGCTGTGTCGTCCGAATGAGACAGACGGTCTCGGCTGTGTCGTCCGACTGCAGACGGACGGTCTCGGCTGTGTCGTCCGACTGCAGACGGACGGTCTCGGCTGTGTCGTCCGACTGCAGAGGGACGGTCTCGGCTGTGTCGTCCGACTGCAGGGGACGGTCTCGGCTGTGTCGTCCGACTGCAGAGGGACGGTCTCGGCTGTGTCGTCCGACTGCAGGGGACGGTCTCGGCTGTGTCGTCCGACTGCAGACGGACGGTCTCGGCTGTGTCGTCCGACTGCAGGGACGGTCTCGGCTGTGTCGTCCGACTGCAGGGGGACGGTCTCGGCTGTGTCGTCCGACTGCAGGGGACGGTCTCGGCTGTGTCGTCCGAATGAGAGGGGGACGGTCTCGGCTGTATCGTCCGACTGCAGACGGACGGTCTCGGCTGTGTCGTCCGACTGCAGGGACGGTCTCGGCTGTGTCGTCCGACTGCAGGGGGACGGTCTCGGCTGTGTCGTCCGACTGCAGAGGGACGGTCTCGGCTGTGTCGTCCGACTACAGACGGACGGTCTCGGCTGTGTCGTCCGACTGCAGGGGGACGGTCTCGGCTGTGTCGTCCTACTGCAGGGACGGTCTCGGCTGTGTCGTCCGACTGCAGGGGGACGGTCTCGGCTGTGTCGTCCGACTGCAGAGGGACGGTCTCGGCTGTGTCGTCCGACTACAGACGGACGGTCTCGGCTGTGTCGTCCGACTGCAGGGGGACGGTCTCGGCTGTGTCGTCCTACTGCAGGGACGGTCTCGGCTGTGTCGTCCGACTGCAGAGGGACGGTCTCGGCTGTGTCGTCCGACTACAGACGGACGGTCTCGGCTGTGTCGTCCGACTGTAGGGGGACGGTCTCGGCTGTGTCGTCCGACTGCAGAGGGACGGTCTCGGCTGTGTCGTCCGACTGCAGACGGACGGTCTCGGCTGCGTCGTCCGACTGCAGGGGGACGGTCTCGGCTGTGTCGTCCGACTGCAGACGGACGGTCTCGGCTGCGTCGTCCGACTGCAGGGGGACGGTCTCGGCTGCGTCGTCCGACTGCAGGGGGACGGTCTCGGCTGTGTCGTCCGAATGAGGCAGACGGTCTAGTCTGTCTCGATTCGATCGGACGATCTCGTCTATTTCGGACGGACGGTCTCGTCTGCCTCGTCTTCGTATCGTTTGTCTTGGACGAACAAACTATTTCGTCTGTATAAGAGAGGCAGTCTTGTCCGTCTCCGGCGGATCGTCTTGTCCTAGCGTCTTGTCCTAGCGTCTGTCTCGTACCGACTGTCTCGTCTGTCTCGTACTGAATGTGTCGTCTGTCTCGTACCGACTGTCTCGTCTGTCTCGTACTGAATGTGTCGTCTGTCTCGCACCGACGGTCACGTCTGCCTCTTCTTGCCGACACCGGCCGCCAGTTCCTCCGCCTGGCCAACTACACCAGCGCTGTGGCGGCGCTAATCCAGCGTTCCCGGTGGGGAACTTGTCTGACGTCAGTCCCAGATGCACCTATTCTCGGAGTGTCTCAGTCTGAGCCGTCAGCGGCGTCTGGCGGAGCGGGTTCGGCCACGGCAAGGTCCGGATAACTGGTGTCTGGGCGCAGCCGGCCGGTCATCGAGACAGCCGGACTAGGATTAGTGCGGAGCCGTGAGCTGTGATCCCCCAAGGTCCACAGGGCGCCTATGGCCAGCCCAAAGGGGTCCCGGTCAACCGTAGCCCGCAGGACGTTCCCAGACAGTCGGGCCATGATTGGGGCGGGTCTGTGATACCCCGAGGACAACAGAGCGCCTATGGCCAGCCCAAAGGGGTCCCGGTCAACCGCAAGGCGTTCTCAGACAGCCGGGCTAGGATAAGGGTGGGGTCGTAATCCCGAATCCGTGATCCCCGAGGACCACAGAGCGCCTATGGCCACCCCACGGGGTGTCCCTGGCCAGCATCCCAGGGCGCCACCGGACAGCCGGACTAGGATTAGGGCGGGACTGTGAGCTGTGATACCCCGAGGACCACAGGGCGCCTGTGGCCATCCCATGGGGTGTCCCCGGACAGCCGGATTAGGATTAGGGCGGGTCCGTGATCCTCGAGGACCACAGCGCGTCCCCGAGCCGAGACGCCATACAAATACGACATTCAGAATGACATGGTGAGCCTTTTTTTGTCGTGAAGAGGTGAGTAAAATCACTGACCTCAGAAAGGCCAGACTTATCAGCCGAGTCCCCAAACAAGACGCACGCGAAGGAATGATGGCTAATAACTCAAATGCGCAGCAGTTCTCAAAACTAACTAAACACGGATGCCCATACAAATTACTATTCCTTGCAGACTGCTCGGCTCGCAGAAGGTTGGACATGATGACCGATTTCCCGCACCTTTACCTCGCACAAAGCTCATCGGAGCCACGATCATGACATAAGTCGGCCGACATCGGCTACATAAGCCGAACACAAACTAACCGGGGAATGGCGACGGAAATTCCCAAATGCTGGCGAAAACCAGACCAGAAGTTTGGCGTTCCAGAAAGAGACAAATGTAGCAGCATGATAACGTGGTCTTTCCTTCATTCTCTTCTAGTCAGAGGAGGCTGGCATTGCATTGTTGCAAATTTGTTCCAAAAAACCTGATCATTTGCTACAAAGCGCTTGCTTTTTGTCGGTATTTACGAATCATTTTACTGTTTTGTCTGTTATTTCTCATAGACAATGTTACGGTACTAGGCTGCAATATAGCAGGCAGATGCCAGTAGCTAGTTCAACCATTTCAGTTCTGGCCACTTCAGCTGGCCACTGATCAGGCGTCGAGGGATCGTTCAACGTTTCATCACTCCATTGTCCACCGTCGGGGAGGCCGCCCAAAGCCGGAATAACCTCGGTTCACACACTAGCACCGCGGCTGAACACGTCATCATAAGTCTAAGCAGCTTGGTAACCTCAGTTCCAGACGCGAACAAGCAAAATGCGGCGATAACCCTATTAGCACGTCATGCAGGAGACAATTTTTGACAATGTCAATCCGCGACATGTTTTTCCGTCTCCGCAGTCCGCAGATAAGCCGGGCGAGAGACGGTGTTTTTTCTGGGGGGGGGGGGGGGGGATCAGACTGGTCAGCGATCTCTACTATCGTGGAGGATGGCGGAGGGAGGGGAGGGGGGGGCAGGCGGTCTGACGGGGTGACATCACGGTCCCATGAGCCAGCCAGCTGCTGGGTGTACCCCCCCCCCCCCATCCCTGACCCTCCCCTCGCCGGTGCATCCGGCTCCCACTGATCCAGCCAGCACGTGGCGCCGCCAATGATCCTACTAAATACCGACGGCTCGCAGAAACCCGCGCCCGGCTTCGAGCATGAATACGGAAAAATACACACACGTCGAGAGATGATGACATCATAGCCGAGTAACAACAGCTTATGGTCAGTTACAGCCTGAAACGTGCATGAGAAACAACGATTTCAAGATAAATGAAATATGTTGAATCTCACATTAGAAATAAAAAGAAGTGATCTGAGCTTATTGACAAAAACTGAAATAATGCTTAAAATTATAAGCCCGCCTCACTTCAGTGCTAACGACAAAGGAATACTGAAGCATAATTAACCTACTACCAACGAATGCCCGCAAGCCGAAATGTCTGGACTCCGGTATGTACTTAGTTACCTAACAAACAAAAACAAAGAAACAAACCAACAAACAAGCAAACAGCGACACGGATATAACTTTAGGCCACCCTATATATCAAATAGCAGCATTAAAAAAACCCCGATGGTTTTTCCCAGCCCCCGTCAAATCGAGCGGGCCAGGGGGTTATTTCGCCCCTCCTGCTGACGAATAGGTATCTGCGATAGCTCCCGAACACTTAGAAATAGGGACGATAAACGTTTAGTATCTTTCCCTTGATCGATTTGGCATCTCCTGAACTAACAACACGACAACTTCTAAATGAAATGTCTAAACTTCTAAATGAAATGACGGATGATTGGGGCAGGCCCCTGCAATGCAAATTTTGACGTCATATACGTCGTCAGCTTCAAACATCTACCAAAAGTAGAAATTTTGATATTAAAGATATTAGACAATTACTTTTGTTTATTTTTCGGAGCCTTCGCTGTTCCTACGACGTCATTTGGAAGCAATAATTTGGTATCTTAAAAAGTGCGGCACTTGCGGCAGGTGTTGCGCGCAAATAGCATATACCACCATTGCTTCACAAAGATGTTAGTGTAAGGTTTTAAAGTCGCTAGATCTGCGCTGACGTCACAAACTCAGAGGGGCATTCAAATGCATCATCCCCACTGAATCCCACTGGGACGAAACCCACTGAATGAATGACGGGACGAAAATCCTTGCCCCACTGTAAGATGTTCCCGCGATGCGTCGACCAGCAGTCTGGCTTATAACTCCTAACTCTGAGAGTTCCCTTGGATTCAGCGCTCTCAAGACCTCCCCAACTCCTCGCAAACGCCAATCAACAGTCCTCGCCTGAAAGTGCAGCTCCTCTTACCAACAAGCATGTCTAAGAAACACACCATTGTATTGCGATGAGGTCACCTCAGCGTATCACATACTGACACCTCAGTGCCCAGACTTGCCCACCGCCCGGGCGTGGGGCAGGCAGCGGCCATATAATATAACTTATCTGTATAGGATATATCTGTCATCACACGGATCGCAGTCGCCCGGGTGACCCACGGAAGGGCGGCCACCAGCGCCACCTATGGAGCAGGTCACCGATGGACCGATCAGCCAGCGATCCACCACCGGAGGGTGTCAGCTACTCGGCCGGCGTCGCCGTCAGCACCTTCTTACCAAACAAACGGATGAACACGACCATACCTGGAACGGAGAGCCCACGGGACGTTAATGGACAGCAAAGACACAGCAATGAGGCGGAAAGCACGAAACAAGCTGGAATGGCGTTAAAACAGCCGATAAGTAGCGAATCCGCGAACGCTGCACTCCTACCCTGGCGTCTCGACTCACCCATGAATGTGGCGCAGACGACGGCGAGCATGATCCACAGCCAGCAGCGGCAGGCGCGCCGGCTGAACTCGGCCAGCCGCTGCGACTCGCGCTCCAGGCGACCCGTGTTCTTGTCCGTCAGCGCAGTGCTGCGCTCTAGCGTCTGAAACGGGAAACACAATCGGTACTGCCACCTGACGGACGGGTCGGGAACTACACGCAGCTGAACCGCGACTGGGATATTCATCGGTAACGTGTGTGCTGAACCGTGCTTCGCTTCATTACCATGACCACATTTTTCACTTCATCATAAAATGTTTCATTGCACTTGACAAAGCCTGAGAACCGGGAGGGAACTCTGGAACCACGAATATTCAACAAAACAGAAACCTCCAATGTCCCATATAGTTATTACACTAAATCAACTTGTCACATGCAGCACTGAAGCTCACTCACCTCTCTATCTTTAGCAATGACGTTTTTGGCGATGAGCGACTGCTCCTTGAGGTTTCTGGTGAGCGCCAGCATCTCCTCTGCGGCTCGCTCCTGCAGCTCGTGGTGGCGCTTCATCACCTGCTCAAAGTCCTCCTCCACGCTGCCGCCGCCGCTGGCTGGAGGCGCCGCATCGCCCCCTGCAACGGGTTAGTTCAGTACCTGGGCTACCCGTGTCGGGAAATTACACTTACGGCAAGCGCTCTAAAATGTCACCACACTACTTCCTCTGGTTACGAGCGAGCGAGCGAGCGCAGCGAGCGAAGCCAAGTCTTTTCAATATAACGGAAAAATCTCAGTATGAGCGGCCCGGCCCGGCCTGTAACGCTTTTGAGAGGCTTATATCTCAGCAACCGCTGGACCGATTGGCCTGCGGTCTTTTTTGCTGGGTAGCCCCATCCCTTCTTCCCCGTAATTGACTACTTTTGATACATCTCAGTGACCGTCGTGGCACGTGCCACGTGAAAAGTCAAGGGTGTTCAAGCAGTTTTGCAAAAGTAATGATTTTGAGAGGCCCATATCTCAGCAGCGGCTTGAGCGATTGTCTTGCGGTAATTTTTATAGGGTAGCTGCATCCCTTCTACCAAAGGTCGGATACTCTTCATCTATGTGAGTGACCCCCACTGCACGTGCAAAATACAAAAAGAAGAGGTGCCAAATTTGTTCCCATTTCAGTAACTCGGTAATTACTGTGGCGATTTCGCTGAAACTTGGCATACAGGTAGGCACCCACCAGGCAATGCATTCCCATGTGTTGCGGTTAGGGTGCTCCTGCACGTGCGCACGTGCAGGGGGCGTTTCCAGATCTCGAGAACGGCTGGGCCGATTGCGCTCAAATTTGGTACACGGTTGGGGACCGGTTAGTAGGGTGCCGTGCAAAAGTCAGTTTGGACCCCGTTTGCACGTGCGCACGTGCAGAATGCCGTTTCCAGATCTCAGGAACGGCTGGGCCGATTGCGTTCAAATTTGGCACACCGCTAGCGACCGGTTAGAAGGGTGCTTTGCGCAAGCCCGTTGGAAGTACCCTCTCGCCCTTCCGCACGTCAGGGCTCACTATCTCGCTCGCTCGTTCTTCGCCCCAAAAGGCGTTTTAAGCCCGGTTCCGACTATGAGGTTGCTTCAGGCCACATCAGGCCACATCAGGCCAGATCAGGCCAGATCAGGCCCAATCAGGCGTTCAGGCCAAAGTTGAACGTCGGACGCTCGGCCTGATCAGACCGTATGGGACGCCAGACGCCAGACGTCAGGCGTCAGGCCGTCGGTCTGCCTCACCAAATATCTTTTAAATGTGTGCGTGTTTTTTTTTTTTACCAGCGAGAGCGAATTGCGATTTTCTAAATAGCTTACAAGTCTGAGCATGAGCAGCCCGGCCCGGTTTGGCGCAGCTCGTAACGCTTATGCGAGGCTTTTATCTCAGCAGCCGCTGGGCCGATTGACCTATGGTCTTTTTTTGTTAGGTATAGCCTCATCCACATCCCTTCCAGCTCGAAATTGACTACTCATGATGCATCGAGGTGACTGTCGTGGCACGTGTGAAGTCAAGGGTTTCATAGTTGTTTCGCTCGGTCAAAGTAACGATTTTGATAGGCTCATATCTCAGCCAAATCTGTGGCGATCGACCCATAGTCTTTTTTGGTATCTTCTTCCCATACCAGACTATGTACTCTCGATGCATGTTTGTTGCCCCTTCCCCTGCACGTGCCACGTGCAAAATGAAGAGGTGTCAGATTCGCTCTCATTACAACAACTAGGTAAATGCTGGGCCGATTGCGCTGGAGCTTCATATGTCGGTAGGCGTCCACCGGACAATGCATTTCAACGTTTCACATTTGGGGTCCTACTGCACGTGCGCACGTGCGTCGTGCAGGGACCGCTTCCACATCTCAAGAACGGCTGGGCCGATTGCTCTCAACTTTGGTACACCGTTAGAGATCGACTAGAAGGGTGTCCCACACAAGTCAGTTGGGGTCCAGTATGCACGTGCGCACGTGCAGACTGCTGCTTCTACATCTCGAGAACGGGTGGTCCGATTGCGCTCAAATTTAAAGTACACTGTTACGGACTGGTTAGAAGCGTGTCCCGCACAAGTCAGTTGGAATAGGTATTGTTTCGCACTTCCTCGCTTGATGAGCTCAACTCTCGTGCTCGCCCGTTTGTCAGCTCCAAAGAGGTTTTACTGGTATAATCGCTCTATATAATGAAAACCTTAAACCGATAATCTTAATCATACTGCGTAACATGTTTTAATGTGGTTTTAAGTAATAAAAACATGATTTTTATCGAAAATCTAAGAAGTGGCTAAAAGAAAACAGAAAAGACATGCATGTTCTATGTTGTAGGTTCTTATGTGCTTTGCAGACAATTACCACACTTAAAAAGATATAAGCATTGACGCAACTCAACTCCGAGAAATAAGAGCCCGTTGTTTATGACTCTTTTCATGTCATCATGCACGTTTAGGGTCTCGATTAGCTTGATCTAAACAAGGTTTGCTTTTTGCTCACACATAGGTACCCGCTGTGGTTTCCCGCCACAAATTTATCTTGCACATGGAGCATGTCGACTTAAGAGTTTAGTTTCTTGTCTTCCCGTCAAATTTCTTTGGTCTGGAAATGAGTCTCCCCGGCCAAGCTGCCATTCGATATAGGATAGGTCCTTTTGTGCCGTGGGGTCCAGCGGGGCGAATGGAGTAGCGGTTGGTTCCATTCAGTCCGAGTCATGACAGAGAGTCATGGGATCTAGCCTCTAGGAGAGGTAGCGGGAGCCTGTTCGGTGCCGGCGACGATGAGTTTAGTTGCCGCAGAAGACACCGCAACAGCTCGGCAGAGGTTCGTGGCATCGAGGGCGACCGAGAGCGAGTGTCCTTCTCGAGCAAAACTTCCAAAAGTTTACTTTCATCCCTCCCTGGTGTTTGCTGGAGCGGCTCATATCAGGCGCAGCCATCCGTTACTGTTCTAAGCTAGGTCTCCCGGCCCGGGAGCTCAGACGGGGAAGGTGGACGAGCTGGATTTCTGATGCTCGACAGGTCAGACGGCTGTAAAGGCTGTCTTGAACCTGGATCTTCCACCATAGCCCGATTTATTTCTCGTAAGCTTGAATGGTTATCTTGCTACGATATTGATGAGTAGCACATTATTTTTTGGAATCAATTTTAAAAGAAACGCTAATTTGGTTGAAATAATGTTGGACTTGTCGAAACCAACGTTCATAATTAATTTAAACAAAACAGCAATCAGTAGCAACCATGGGAGTTATTCATCCTTCAAAGCCCGAAATGACACAAATTAGGCCACAATAAAAATCAAATAAAAAAGAACCATGCGCAACGTCTCGTGCCTAATTCATACTGGGTCTGTTTTTTGTGTGCATTTATATAAATAGGCACTTTTATTTTGCAGAGTGTCAAAAAGGGCACGATTTCGAATACCACGCATTGTCACGTCGCAAATGCGCCAATGCAAATTCAAAATGGCGGGCGCAGCGTCAGGCCAGATCAGGCCGGATCAGGCGCAAAAAGTTGACTTGAAGTTAACTTCGGCCTGATCTGGCCTGAAGGTCTGATCAGGCCAGTTCAGGCCGGATCAGTTGCTCCGGTTCGCACTAGCATGCCGTCAGGCCGTAAGCCTTTTCCAGCCTTTTTGGGGATGATTGGGCCTGATCTGGCCTGATTGGGCCTGAAGTGACCGTAGTCGGAACCGGGCATTACTGGTCATACCAATGCTAAGAAATCAATAACCAAGAAGACTACGTCAATAATCAAAGCCTACCAAAATTATCCGCAACAAAATACCGTTCATAATAAATCGCAATCAAGCTGATGCTTCACCAATCCGAAAACCATGACATCCTTTGGTCCGCGTCCCAGTCCTTCACCCTCCCCCATCAATGCCCCTCGGTGCCTTCACTCACCGACCGGCGTTCCCAGCAGCTGGGCCCTCGCCTCGGCGTGCGCGCGGCCGCCGCGCCGGTGCCGCAGCTCGGTGAGGGCCGGGCTGGCGTGTGATCTGGACACCACAGTCAGTACTGGAGACACGGGCGGACTGGCGGCCGGGCGGGCCGGCGGCTCGGCGGACGGAGGCGTCACCTGCAGACGGAGTAGGGAAGAGACGGTCAAAATATGGTACGGGAGGGCCAGGGTACAGCACGGGGCGGCCAGGGGACGACACAGAACGATGGTCACGGCGCCACGAGACGGAGAAAAGAAGGTGCGTGAGGGTCATGGCACCTCATGCCGTAAACAGGGTAAGGCCGGACCAACACAGATTACTTGATGCAAGGGGTGACCCAAGGTCGCGCCAGTTTTCATCAGGAGGCAGGATACAAGTCAGTGGGCGGGGAAAATTCATCTTATACCAATCCAAGATGTTGTCAACGTGTAACGGTAGATCGTTTAAATGGTCCAGGTAACGTCAGTTTTAGCTGGAATCTGTTCAGAAAGACATACACAAGCTTGCTACACTTAAAGGGACAGTATCATCGAGAAAAAAAATCCATGTATGGAGCTGATTTTTTTTTACTAGCATTTCTTATTTTTCTGAATCAGAAAAACATAGTTTGAAGACCGAACTCGGTGAAAAATATTGCAACCACATTTCATTTTCATGATTCATTTTCATGAGCGAACCACCACTATACAAGCATGGCCGCCAGTTTGGAAGCATGCAAAATTCCTACAGAACTGGCGCAGATAATACATTATTGACGCTACGCTTACGCGGTCGTTCTTCTGATTGAGTTGTCCTTAGGGAGAGGTAGCCTTAGGTATTGCCTATAAAAATATAACGTGACAATTGGAGGGAGTGACAATTGGACGTGACAATTGACAATGGGAGAAAATATCACGTGACAATCACGTGATAAACGTCATACATTGGAGGGAGATTGTGATTCAAGCTGGAGGAATTCCTTTGTTGAGCCGCTAGAATCCGAAGGAAACAGCGGAAATTGCCTACGACTATTTAATGAATTTAACGGTGATGAATAAGTGCGAAAAACGTTTTGGCTTTATAAAATTTGATGAAATGACCAGGGTAAAAGTTTTATTACTGGCGGTCAATTCAAAACGGCGCAAACATTTAAACAGTGAAGATAGTGAAGCACGATTCAAAGTGTGGTACACCTTTCGTACTTTGAGCGGCGATAGCGGGATAACGGTGTGGAGCTTCGAGGATCGGTCTTCAGTTCCCGGACCAGAAAGGTGGGGCCTATGCAATGTCAAATTTCATCAAAATGGTGATACTGTCCCTTTAAGCAATGGTGAGGTACTCTCGAAAAAAAAATAGGAAGTTTGAGTCGATTCTCCGCCTACCTGCGGCTCCGGCGGTAAAAAGCTCTGCAGGTGTTCAATGCGTCTGCCGAACTCGCTCAATTTCTCCGGACTCGGTACACTGCAAACAAGATAAAAGGCGTCAGCTCACTGCCGACGATGACATGTGATCAAGAAAAAAGCACGCTTCAGATGTTGGTGTAAAGGCAAAGCCTGTTATAAGAGCATGATAACACAATTTAAGCTTTGACTTATACCAATGCGGAAAAATCCATAGTACCTACCAACTACCAGTTCATAGGATCTCTCAAGAAAATGATCAATCATCCAGGTAAGTAATTGATGACCGGGGTCTGGGACTAGCGGGATACATACTCGTACATAAGACTATCGTAACGCTAACACTATCAATCTGCCCAAAAGAAAGGCTACAAGTATCAATTTAACCTCATCGAGCTAATACGGTACAGAGTATACGTCATTATATGCTAGGCTAAGCTCATTCGTATTTCCGTTAATACATGGATCCGATTAGATGCCTGTCAATATCCGAACGGTTGTCTTTTTTACTAGGCAACTGGAGAGCAACGGCATCGCCATGACTGAAATACGGCAAAGAAATCAGCAGCATTAAATCGATCGTGTCGAGTCGTGGGCAAATTGACTTAATTTCACGCCGTAACAAGTGGAATATACTCGTCAAAGCTGTACCTCGGACTGGACTTCAGGGCGTCAAGCTGAGTCCGGAGCGCATTAACGTACTGCAACAGAGGAAAAAAACATTGTTAAATAAATAACCCTCGAAAGCACGGCTAGTCGCATATCGTACTCAGAGAGCAGCCTAAGTTTGCAAACGAAATAAGGAGGTAGTGTTGGTTGTAAGAAATCAATTACACGGGTCATAGTCGCGATCATGACACGTTATCACCGCATCGTGCGTAAAAAAAACAAACTATTAATTGACGTCAGCACTACCAAATAATTGAATGGATTCGTAGGTACAGTGTTCGTATTTGCATAACGGTCCGGTGGTAGACAAAAGATTCCCAAATCAGCTTTGGGTGCCATAAGTCACCGAAAACAGCAGTTATTCTTTTTGTAAGTCCCCACTACAATCAGCGCGATGGCAAGCAATCTCCCTTGTCCTAGCGTTGCTCTGACCCGCGGAAGGACGGGCCACCGACCACTGCGGCGCTGACCTGCTCGTAGCGCCAGTTGCCGTCGCACTCCTCAGCGGCTGCCATCCGTTCACACTGCTGCAGCAGGCGGGACAGGTTCACCTCCATCCGAGACGCCATCTTGAAGCAGTGCCGCCTGCTCTATCACAGATCGAGATAACCGGGTCTTTGTGATGCTGGTCGGACCGATGGTGACTCAAATTCTCCAAAATCCTGTGAAAAGACAAGCTAGTTAGCCTTAGTTCACACTGCCTCCCGGCTTCATGATAATAAGGAAAAGGAAACAAATAGGTTATACGCGCTTTTTTTAGCAATTATCATCCAAAACCACAGCTTCATCCTTCGCTAACAATCGGACCGAGGCGAATCAATATATTCGGGTGTATCAATCACATTGCACCGCCCGTCATCGATGACATCTGAGCCCCTCCGATAATGACTCTGAAAATATGGCTAAGGAGAGAAAAGGATGGTACTCACAGGACGAGCTGATGGTAGGCTGGATCACTGGATAGGGTTGAGTTGGTGGGACAGACTGTCCCCTGAGCAGCTTGCTCACCGGGTCGCCAACCAGTCTGTCTCACCGGGCGCCAAACGGTACAGCCAGGCACTGTCTTCAGTCCAGTATCTCACTGATATTCCTCACTGAAATGGCCCACTGTACTGTCTCACTGGACGGTTTAGCCACTCGGAAATATCTCACTAAAATGTCTCACTGGAATATTTCATTAGACGGTACAGCAGCCCTGGTCCAATTCCACTACACGGTAAAACCAACCAGCTTCGCGGCTCGTGCCCTCACTGAACGGTGCAGTCACCCGGGATAGTTCTACCAGGCGATACAGCCGCCCGGGACCGTCTACTAGTGTCTCACTGGAGTCTCACTGGATAGTCATCCAGGGCTGTCTCACTGAACTGTCTCACAGGACTACCCCGCTGAACGGTATTGTCACCCGAAACAGTCTCACCGGACGTTACAGCCGCCCGGCTGCGTCTCACCAGAGTGTCTCACTGGACAGTTTCACTGAATGATGAACACTTGAGTCTGACTCTGGACTGTCTCAATTGAGTCTCACTGCACTATCTCACTGAACGGCACAGCCGCTCGGTCCTACCCACTCGTAGCTGGAGGCGCGGGAGCTCCCTGACACAGTGGCCGCCGACGGCTGCGGCGAGGGCAGCGTCACCAGCACGCCCGCGTTCCCAAAGTGCGCGTGCAGCACGCGCCGGCGGTAGGTGCCGAACGAGAACAGCTGCTCCCGCTCGGCAGCCGCCCGCTGCCGCTGCTGGGCCGCGAAGATGCGCCGCGCGGCGTCACTGTACCGCTCCTCTATGGAGAGGTGGGAGGAGGAGGAGGCCGAGCCAGACGAGGAGGACTGGGAGGAGGAGCAGCTGACTGGGTCGGCCATCGGACGGCCATGCTGGCTGGGTGAACGCTGCCGGGGATCTCACTCGATCAGTACCACCTGCTGGAGAGGGAGGATGGATAGGGAAGGGCATCCAATGACAATGTTGTAGTGAGAAAGACATGAATATATAGAAAAGAGTCCACAACAAGTGTCCATAACAAAATGTAACAAGTGACCCAATAAAAAGATGAAGATAAAGATGAGAATACACAGAAACTTGAACTGTTTACCAAAAATATCAAATGCAAGGCCCTCCAGCAAAAGTGGTTAGTCAGTCAGTGTGCTTTTGAGGTATAAGCTTTGAATGGCACAGGCGATGCAGTAAAATAGTCTTTAATAGAAATAAGAGGCTTCATTTTCATGCGGACAATGTTTGTTATGAGCTTTTGGACGCATTATAATACTGATCTCAATCTGGATTGGTTACTTTATTGTGATGCTAGCAACTAACAACTTCATAATCAAAGAACCATAAGCATATTGATATGGTGTGTGCCCCATGCAGCAGCTACCGATAGTATTAAATAAAAATTATTTATGCGCTAGCCGCTAGCTGAGTCATCCCACAGTTCAGATCTTGATCTCATCAAAATTCTCATAGGTATTTTGCCACTGATGGAAACGAGGCCTCTTTCTGGTCCCCGCTTTTTATTCTCCAGGTGGGCGAACCCCATCTAGCGCTAAGCGTCTAAGGACCCGCTCAGAGCTGTGGTTGTTTTAGCCGCTCGGCCCATTTCAGATGCAAAGTTGATAAGCACATGAAGTTCCTTCAGGTGTTTATGGCAGCATGTGAGACGTCTGGTGTAAGAATACCAAATAATGTATGAATATACAAAACGTATCATTGAAAGCTTCTTAGGGCTTTATCTTGACATATAGGTAGGTACCTAAGGTACCTTATTTGTTTCCCTCTGGAGTTTTTACAGGCTATGGATTTGCCTGCTAGACATACCTTAGTTGTAGTATATTTTCAGTCAATGCAATTAATTACGAGTTATATCAATATCCCAGATCATTAACGAAACAAAAATCAAAACAATAGGGATGCAAAATCAGTGTAAAACTTCCCATATGCCTCCAACACCGACGTGCAGTTTTAATTTCAATTTTGTAACGTATGCGCTAGATTTGTCGACACAATATTAGAGATGGGAGTCGTATGTCAAGCAAGTACCATTTGGTACTGGACGGACGGTTGACGCCGTGCCAGTTCGTGAGATGTGAGAAAAAGCCTGAGGCGTTTTAATAATGGCATTATTGGTGATCGATTGGAGTGGATAAACTTTCAGGGAATTGCTTTTTTGTCGAAAATAGGCAAATCAATCTAGCGTCGAAAGCTCATAGCTCATTAAATTTTTCCTCGACTGCGTCACTATATTTCTATGCCCTGTCGGCTGGAGAATGGCTCAGTGTGGCTGCAACGGCAAAGTGGGCTATTTGGTCATTGAATTATTGCTATTTATTCTTGATGGGTGGTAACAATGGATCTAACTAATCAAGCACAGGATCGTCGAAGACGTGAAGAAGCTATATTACCAGGTAAGATCGTACAATTACTCATGGTTTACGAAATTGTGCGCTGCTTGTGGAGACGTTTTCCTGACTGAGTTATCGTGCTTTTCAGAACTGCTGTATCTTGTCGCCAAGTTTTTGGATTCAAGTGCCTGCAAAAGTTCAGCCAAGGTATGTACAATCAACGATGTTATTATAATGAGTAATGTGGTTACATCCAGTCACTTACCTCGCCCTTTGTTTCAGGTTTTGCTGGAGGAAATACGGCAGCTGAAGGTGAGCACTGCACATCGTGGACTGCCGGTCGAAGCTCGTGCTGCGTTGTCACGTGGGTTTGTTTACTTCTATTCCTGCCCATGACCTAGGATAAGCTTTGACTGTATCGCCGTTTGTTTCAGCTGGTGCCGGACCGTTACGATTGGCTCGGCAATCGCCATGAGCGGACTTGGGAGGAATGGGTGAGTAGAACATTTCACAAATCCCATTTTATTAATAAAATTTTGTTTGGGGCTAGTGTTAAGTCGTGGGACGCGAGGTCACCGACAGCGTTTCGGTTGACCTGTCACTCGACGTCACGTTACGGAGAGTCCATGTGTAACCGGATTCAGAAGTGCATTGATATTTAATTTCATATTTTATGCGTTTATCGCCATTTTATGCTTCCCCGCCCCGCTCGGCCCAGTCGCCGTCGGTTTGCCGCTCCCGACCCGTCCCAGGGATCGTTGGAAAGCGCCCGACGCTGCGCCCGTATCTGCGCTGGGGGGCAGCGAAACCCTGGCTTCGGCCGCGTTACGGGCTGGGCGCTGGACCAAAGCCAAAGTCTTCGTCAGTAAGGCCTATTTCTCGCTGGTCTGATGGGAAAATTCGACCGTATGCTCACCACAGGCCGTTCGGCTGGCTGGGCAGCCAATCGTTCCGGAGCAGAGCGTCGGGAGGGCGGAGCGTGCGGGCGCATGAATACCAAACAATCCTAGTGGTGGACAGGGTGATACTCGTTGACAATGCTTTAAATAAGTACTTTTGAGTACGTGCTTTTTTATCGGATAATTCTTTCGGAACTCTTCATTTTGACGTATTACTTTAAATGTACCTAAAATTATTTTAGCAAGTTCTTCCTGTGATTGCGTGGCCTGATCGCGAGGGCGGCAAATTCTAAATGTACAGGATAGGATGACGATGACGAATAGAGGCTAGAGCGGCCACTTTTATGGCGTTTGTCTGCCTAAAATATAGAGTATCCTTGCACGTGGCTTTTTAAGCCACATACAATCCCTTTCAGCCTTACCCGTCCGTCGTTTTCATCCTCAGGATGTTCAAATCCTTCTCCTCCACGTTGCAACCTTCGCTCCGGGCTGGACAGGCAACTTTATCTCATGCGGGCTGCTCCCTTGCTGCGGCACCGCTGCTCCCCAGGGAGCACACCCGTAGCCGGGTACAGAGGGGCTGGTCGGCCTGTCCATTCAGACGGGCTCAGCCCCGGTGACTCTCTAGGGTGCCTGTCCATAGCAATGTCTCCCCCTAATTCCTCTCATTCTCCCGGCTAGCTGCAATGTTCTCAATGGACTGAAAGGGCCTAAGTCCTAACCCAGCAAAACAAACAAAACAAACTTTTGAGCCTTGAACTTAAAAACATTCGTGTGATGAATCCCGAATGTATGTCTAGCGGTACCTATTTAGGAAGATTGCGGAAGCACACTTGGCGGTGATAGGCAATAATAGGTACGGTCCCAAAATGGAGCAGAAGGATGAGTTCCTGAACCATCACTCTCCGATCATCGACCGGGGTTACATGAGCAGAATAAATGCGTATTACTAACGGACTACAGTTTTCAATGATGAGCGTATGTATAGGAAGATCCGTTCCTGATCCGTATTGACTTGCCCATGTAACCCAGGTAATTGATAGAGGGCAGCTCATACATGTGTGACAGTTGCCTTCTCCGCTGGGGAAGATGGTCCATCGGGGCGGGAACTGCTGCGGCATTGGACTGGGAAGGGGGAGGGGTCCCACTGAGTTTGTCCCATGGCCTTGTGACCCTCTCCCGTGTGCCCTCCGCTGACCGCGGTACGCTCCGCCAGGACCGTCTCCACCCCCATGTCGGTGGTGAGACGCTGCTGCGACTGTGCGGCAACATGCTGCCGCTGCTGGACCGCCTGGTACCCAGCGGCGTGCGCGGCCTGCACTCGCTGCTGGGCGCCGGCTCCAACTCGGTGCTACGGACAGAGACGGGTCAGTACAGTAGGGACGGCTGGGGTGGGGTGCGGTGATTAGTACAGCAGGACTGCGGGGAGGGACTGGTGGGTGTTAGGCAGTCAGTGATCAGCGCCGGCTCCAACTCAGTGCTGCGGACAGAGCCGGGTGAGTGCAGTAGGGACGGCGGGGAGGTCGGGTGGGGGGGGGGGGGGGGGGGTTGAGCACAGTAGGTGGGCTGGCGAGAGACTGATTGCCTTGGATGGTTGTATCGTGCTTCAAAACATTGCGATCGATTAGCCCCCAAAGTAACGATGTTGTGTCTGACCCGGGTGCCCGCTCTGTTGACAGGGAGCCAGCAGCGCCACCTACCTGTGCACCGGGTGGCGGCCAGAATCGCAGGACGGCCCATGTTGGATCCCGTCGGTCTCAAACACACACCCACACTACGTGAGTACACGTAAACTTTATCGGATTATTACCCGACGATCCACTGTCCTAAAACTTGGATGGCATGAAGTCGCCGTGTCCCTGCGCCGTGCCGCCCTGGCTATTCCTTCAGCCGTCAGCCGTTCTGCTACCGTTCCGTCCTAACCTGTCGGTGTCCCGTGTCGTCCTATCTGCTCTGTGCCTTTCTCTTTGTCAGCTCACCGTCCACTCCCCAATATGCCCTCTGCAGCAGTCTGGGCCACGAGGAGGGGACCATCGTCCTGTCTGTTCAGCTGTATCGTTCGGTCGTCATCTGACCGCTCCCTCTTCTTTCCTCGGCAGCGGTGAGCAGTTTTGGCCGCGAGCTGCAGGGCAGCTGACCCCTCTCCCCTCCTCCCCGCAGCGGTGAGCAGTTTTGGCCGGGAGCTGCAGGGCAGCTGTCTGCGGCGTCACCTCAGCACCGAGCGGCTGCTGAGCCGCACACAGCTGCTCAAACGCACCCTGGGCCACCTCTCGGCCGTCTACTGCGTCCTGTTTGACCGTACCGGCTTCTGCGTCATCACCGGCGCCGACGACCGTCTGGTGAAGGTGTGGTCGGCGCTGGACGGCCGCCTGCTGGCCACACTGCGCGGCGCGGCGGCCGAGATCACCGACCTGGCCATCAGCGGGGACAACACCCTGCTGGCGGCCGGCAGCTGTGACAAGGTCATCCGCGTCTGGGACCTGCAGACCACCGCTCCGGTGAGACTGGAGGAAAGGGGGACGGTGTTTGGGTGCGTCGAGGACCTCTAGATCTCGGCACCGGTGGGATTGAGACAAGGGAACAGGGGACGGGGATGGGTCTAGTCTGGGACCTGCAGACCACGGCATCGGTGAGATTGGGAGGACAGGAGTACAGGGGTGGGCCTCGGAACTCCAGACGACGGCACCGGTAAAATATGGGGATAGTTTGATGGCGGGATGGGGTCAGGGGGTGGGTCAACGTTTGCTGACACTAGTTTCCCGTGTCCCCACCAGGTGGCAGTGCTGTCCGGTCACGGCGGCATGATCACGGCGCTGGAGTTCTGCCCGGGCCCGCTGACAGTAGTTCCCTGTGTCTCCACCAGGTGGCAGTGCTGTCCGGTCACGGCGGTATGATCACGGCGCTGGAGTTCTGCCCGGGCCTGCTGACACTAGTTTCCCGTGTCCCCACCAGGTGGCAGTGCTGTCCGGTCACGGCGGCATGATAACGGGGCTGGAGTTCTGCCCGGGTCGCTGACATTAGTTCCCTGTGTCCCCACCAGGTGGCAGTGCTGTCCGGTCATGGCGCTGGAGTTCTGCCCGGGCCCGCTGACACTAGTTGTCTGTGTCCCCACCAGGTGGCAGTGCTGTCCGGTCACGGCGGTATGATCACGGCGCTGGAGTTCTGCCCAGGCCCGCTGCCGCAGCAGCGGCTGCTCGTCTCCACGGCGAACGACGGCTGCGTGGCGTTCTGGAGTTACCGGGACAAGGAGCGGCCCGCCGGCGGCCGGCCGGGCGTCCAGTTCGCCAGCCGGCCGGTGAAGATCAACGAGCGCGTGCGGCCCGGCCAGGCGCAGCTCATCTGCGCGGCGTTCAGCGCCGGCGGCACGTTTCTGGCCATCGGCGGAGCGGACCATCACGTCAGGTAACAGTGGGAGGAGCGCCGGACCGCCATGGACAGAGTGGGACCGGGGGACGGACGACCATTACGTCAGGTAGGAGATTGAGCAGACTGAGTAGTCTACCAGTTTTCCCTTGGCTGAATGACCTCTGTAGCTGTAAAAAGCCGCTGAGGGTCATGACTACATACTCTATCGATAACACTTAACGTGGACTCATTTTCGGCTACCTTTACCCTCTGCATGTTGATGTTTCTCCGTCTTTTTGTTTCGTCTCGGTTCCCCTCTGCCCCACCTTTCATCCTCGGTCGTCCACTGAATATCTCTTTCGTGGCACAGCCCCCTCTTTCCCGCTAACCAATGCTCCCGGGCTGTTCCCCAGAGTATACCGGACCGACTTCAGTGACGGCCCGGAGCGTATTTTGGAGCTGGAGGCGCACTCCGACCGGGTGGACAGCATCCAGTGGTGCCACAGCGGCTGCCGCTTCGTCTCCGGCTCCAAGGACGGCACGGCCATCGTGTGGACGTTCGAGCGCCAGGAGTGGTGCCAGCGCAAACTGGTCATGGAACGGCGGCCAGAGTGAGTGGGGTCCGGCCGCTGCTGCTCTGTGAGGGAGGTGGATGGGGAAGGGATAGGGAGTTAAGGCAGGCTGTCAGATACAGTGATGCTGCCTTTACACAGTTTTGTAATGGAAGGCGGCTGAGGCAGCGGCTGGCAGAGAGGTGTTTTAATACTTTTTGACTATTAAACGGTACAAGTCATGCCCCTCAAGAATACGGTTGTTTCGTGTGTTACATTGCATCTTGTATTATTGATGATGGAACATCGACCAGCGCTAGAGCGGTGTTGCTTCTCAGCGAATTTATTTATACCCACCAATGCATTTTTTATTAGTCGTATGTCTTTTATAAGTGCCTTTTACTCCAGTGCAAGTCTATTGCGATTCATTGGCTGTCCGCTCTCTGACTGACCGACCGACTGCTGATCGTTTGTCAGGTTCCGCGAGCCGCACGATGACGGCCGGCAGCGGCCGCTGCGCGTCAACATGGTGCGCTGGACCACCGATGACGCGTATGTCGTCACCACCGTCAGTGACACCAGTCTTAGGGGTAAGTCCGGGCACCACCGCACCACAGCAGAGGTAGGAAAAGAGCTGCAGACTCGGAGGTAGAAATTACACCAGTCTCGAAGGTAGGCACGGCTCTCGCCAGCCGACACGACGCAGGCGGACGGATCCCTTCAGCAGCTGATTGTTCGAATGTTTTCTTGCAAAACCGGCCACGTATGCTAGACTAGACGTCGTGCAGTCAGCCGGTTATGCATGAGCTTCGTGACCAACAGTTAGCCTTTCGTTCGACCCATTGTGTCCGTGCAGGGGCTGTCAGTCTAGGTAGCCCCTTGTTCTGCCACCACGGTAAGACGTGTCTATATTATGCCGACGGTGTAACCCGTGTGTTCCTCTGTGCAGTGTGGGAGGCGACCACTGGCCGTCTTCTGCACGTGCTGGCCGGTTGCAGACCGTCACTCTAACTCTGTGTCCCGCCCCCAGTGTGGGAGGCGACCACTGGCCGTCTTCTACACGTGCTAGCCGGTCACACGGACGAGGTGTTTGTGGTGGAGAGCCACCCGAAGGAGCCGCGACTGGTTCTGACCGCCGGACACGACGGACGCCTGTTCATCTGGGACGTCTGGTCCGGCGTCGCGCTGGCATCCTTCTTCAACCATGTGAGTGGGATGGCACCCGAGGGGGTGAGGGAGGGCTGTGGGGTGAAGCTGGGTAAGATGTGATGATATGAGATAGGACTGGACTCCTTGTCGTGAGATGATATAAGATTGAACTATTGTGCATATGTATTGTATGGTATCACACGAATGGTATTTCAGTCTCTATTCATGATCGATCCGGCTATGCATGCAAACTGTGTGCTGTATGGCTACTTGAGGCTGCATTGTCGCCGTCATTTCAACACCAGGTGTCACTGCACGGCGCCTCAGCGGGCAGCCAAACCCCCTGTCACCCCTGACTTCTGTGCTACTCGGCAGATCGAGGGCGAGGGTCACGGCGGCTTATTTGACGCCCGCTGGTCGCCTTGCGGCCTGTTCATCGCCGCCACCGACTCACACGGACACCTGTCGCACTTTGGCGTCAGCGGCAACGACCAGTTTACTCGGGTGAGCGCTGCTACAGCCGCGGAGACCGGCACTGGACCGGCCGAGAGCAGCTCGGCAGTTAATGCAGTCTCTGAGCGCGCAAACTAGATATGACACGGCACGGTACCGCTAACTGGTCAAACGCTTACCTGATTGTGGAGTGTTTCCTCATGCATTTTCCTTATCTTTTTAGCGCCACTAACGTTCTTTTCATAGCATTTTTGGTAGATTTTGCGTCGTTACCTGAGGGTCATGAGCTATACTCTCGGGTTTTCCAGTGATTGTCTTTACTTTTATGTGACCTGTTCGTGGGGTCCCTCTCGTGTTATCTGTATTATTTGTGAAAGACCATGCTTTATAGAGCTTCCCGGGTATCGGCTGCGTCCCAAGATACGCTGACGGTATCATCAGACTCACTGACTCGCTGACCTCTGACTCACTGACCTTACTGACTCCCTGTCCCTGCGATCTTTCCTCAGGTCCCGTACGAGCAGTTTTTCCACACGGACTACCGTCCGCTGATGCGGGACGCGCGGCATCAGGTGCTGGACGAACAGACGCAGATGGCTCCCCACCTGCTGCCGCCGCCGCTGCTCGTCGATCGCGACGGCAACCCGCAGTCGGCGGCGGCGCAGCGGCTGGTGCCCGGCCGCGGCCACATGACGGACCAGCAGCTGCTGCCCGTGCTGCAGCCCGTAAACGGTGAGAGGGGGACGGACCAGCAGCTACTGCCCGTGCTGCAGCCCGTAAACGGTGAGAGGGGGAAAGGGGGCTACATGACGGACCAGCAGCTGCACCTGCCCGTGCTGCAGCCCGTAAACGGTGAGAGGGGGACGGACGGACCAGCAGCTGCTGCACGGTGAGAGGGGGACGGACGGACCAGCAGCTGCTGCCCGTGCTGCAGCCTGTCAATTGTAAGAGGGGAGAGACGAGTGGTGCGAATGCTTACATTGGTAGAGTAGCATTTATGGGACTGAATGCCAAAATCTGCTGTTAAACCTAACCTAACCTAACCTGGTAGGGCATAAAGCAGCGTGTGACTACTGCGACTACATTGCTGGATCGTTTTTGTATGTGTTGAGACGTGCCATGACGTGGCCATTCCGTGACTTCCCCAGTGGAGGAGGATGACCTGGTAGACGTGGAGCAGCTGGGGCCCGAGGTGCGGCAGAGACGACCCACCATCGACGACATGATCGAGCGGCTGGCCATCGAGCAGGCCATGAGAGAGACAGGTACGGCACTGGGACTGGAGCAGGTGAAGCCGGTACGTCAGTGGGCAGCTGTGGAACAGCCCCGAAACCTTGGGTGCTGGCTTGCTGGCCACACTCTGTGCCCGCTCCTCACGATCCGGCGGTCCGTTTCAGCGGAGGAGGCTGAGGAGGCGGCGGACGTCGGCGCCGCGCCAGCCGTAGCGGACGCCCCTGTCCCAGAGCGGGAGGCGGCCGGGGAGCCCGCGGCGCCGGCCCCGGCGCGGCCGGCAGCAGCCGCCAGCGACTGGCGTCACCGGAGGGTGGCGCCGCGACTGTCGGCCAGGGAGCTGCAGCGACACATCGAGTATAGGTTAGTACCTACGTTATAAGAGATTGGGTGCAGGCTAGGATTACGTAATTATAGGAGCCGATCGTCTGGAAAGGGTATTGCCGAATGGTTTGCGCAAAGGCATTGCCGAATGGTCTGCGAGGCTGTGCTATTTACCTAGTGCTGTAGCTCTGGACATCGTCCAATGCTGATCAGTCTAAAGAATTATCAGCATTGGATCGTATGGCGTCGTATGGCGTCAAAATATTTCAGATGACATGGTTTTTAGCCACAAGATGTAGTGTGTCTTGTAATGAGACATTAGGCCTCATCCGACCACACCATTGACTGATCTGTCGTCACGTTTCGGCCGCCAGGAGCTTGGAGGCGGAGCTGGAGCAGAAACACTTTGAGGACGAGATGAGCAGGCCGCGCCGTCCGCCGTCACCCACCCAGCGGCGGTTGACGACGCGCGAGCGGCGGCGACAGCGGCTGCTGCGCCGGCGCCGCCAGCCCAGCCAGCCGGACGGGCCGCAGGAGCCGGCCCAGCTGGAGCAGGAGCAGGAGCGACGGCAGGATCGGCGCCAGGAGCGAGAGCAGAGGGTCACCCGGGCCGCCCGCGCTGTGCGCGCGCCCTTCAACGAAGACTTCGAGGTATGTGCGGGACTGGGTTTGGCGCTTGGCGTGCTTTTATCTGCGGGAAACTTGACTGTGACGTGTCAGTGGTGTTATGAACATATGTTGTAAAAGACATAATTTGGTTCGTCTTGGAACTGGGCGGTCTTATTTTCGGTGAGGGGTGCCAATGAATGAATTGCTTTTTGAACGCCCATAAACGAATGCCTAGGGTGTGGAGCAAAGCGACCACCCTTCCACCCTCAGCACCTTTCTATCTTACGAAGTTTAAGGACAACTAAGTAGCTGATCTTGTAGCTCATTACATACGCTTTCTTCGAATAACACATCAGGAGGTTTTTAGGTCCTGAAAGTTTTATCTCCTTGCGAAAGCTTCTCTGGCACGGTCTGAGGGCGCTGAGAATTTACGACATTTTAGGACCGTGCGGAGGTTCACTTATGACGTCGTAGGTCAGTGACCTGACCTGACATGAAAATGTTGTTCGTGTCATGTAAGATCCGGCTTGAATCAAAAGTCAGGTATGCCAAGTTTCAGCTCTCTGTCGCCGGCGCATTCTGAGCTATCGCGAAAAAAAACATGGGGGCACCCTCGGCCTGCGAAGGTTAAACACTGTTGTCGTTACCCCACTCCTCATTCAGTCAACGCCCGTCACTGCCTTGGAGAGTGGAGATCAGAGGCCAGTTTTACCAACAGAAAAAATAGCCGTCTGCCGGATTTTGTTTACTAAAGACCACTTCACGTATTAAAGGCACGTAGACGGTAAAGCCCTATTCGCTTACGTGCCCATCGCGTTTACGCTCCGTATGTGAAACGGTCTTTAGGCAAAAAATTCCGGCAGGCGGCTATTTTTCTGTTGGTAAAACTGGCCTCAGTTCTTGCGAATAAATCGTTCCAGACGATACTAACCAGTGTATTGCATACTTAGTAAGAGTCCTGGTGACATCTTATTTTTGCACCCTTATTTTTGTTAGCTTGAAAAGTTAGACCACACATTGATACTTATGATAATTTTTACAGAAAACATTTTCAAGTTACACTTAACCACCCACCCTGCCATGCCTCTCGGTTTATCGCTCGTTGTTTACGCTTCTACGTGCTCAGCTGTTGAATAATCGTACGACCTTTTGCTTACCCATCGAACATGGGGACCTGTGGAGAACCGGGGTCTCTGGCTGCGTGGGTGAATTTTTCACTTATAAAATTTAAAAGGATTTTTTTGCTGTCCGCGTTTTTTTTTTTTTTTTTTACTTATGCTAGTTATAGTGTGCCATTATTTCCCGGTGTAAGTAACTGTATGTCTGTATCGACATTTTCTAGATCGATAAATTGTTTCTGAGTTATGACAATGTGGTGTGGTTTTATTTGCTTTTGATCTAGGGGTGCAAAGCAGCGATTTCACCGAATCCTAAGCATAAGAGACGTATCCTGCCACTCACTTTGGGTCAACAATGCTCTCAATTACCTGTGATGTATAACTCGCATTGATGGGTAAAACGCCCATGATGGGCGCTTTGCCCCACACCAAAGTGGGCGTATGTATTACCGCACCGCAACAGCACATTCAAAATGACGTCCACCAAAATTAAGCCTGGGCCTGTTTCACCGCGAAATATTATGTAATTTTATTCTATTCCATAACGTATGCGCAGTAGGCATCAGTGGGCGGAGCACGGGGCGGAGTTTCTCTGTTGAGGGCGCGTTGGCAAGGGGCGGAGTTTTTCTGTTAGGGGCGCGTTGGCAAGGGGCGGAGTTTCTCCGTTGAGGGCGCGTTGGCCGGGGCCACGACAGGACACGACGAGCTGACTGGCTGGGAGTCGGTCACCGTCTCTCAGCTGCGTCCCGGCTGCTCACCGCAGACCCGGCACGCGCTGCTGACGCTGGAGCTGCAGCGGCAGACGACTGCCGAGAGTGGGGCGCACCGACCTCCCAGTCGACGCGCTCCCGCAGCGCACCCACTACGTGGCCCCTGCGTGACGTGCAAAAGAAGAAGAAGCAAGGGGCGGAGATTCCAACGTATGACGTCACGGCAAAATATTCTGCCGCAGAATGGCATGACGGATTTTCGTGATTCCGACTGTTTTGCTACTCAATGTGGCGCACCAAGGCATGCGTGTTTTTCCTACGTCCATCAATTGAGCAGCAGATTGATATTCGCGAATATCAAACTAAGAATTCGATATTCGGACGGGGAACGCAATAACTCAAGAACCAGTGAACCGATTTTGATGAAAAGAACCTCATTCGATTCCTCGTTCCTTATTGCAGGTTGACAGCGATTTTCAGGTCACTAGGTCATGACCTTCAAGGTCAAGGTCAAGGTCAAAGGACGGGGAACGCTCTACAGCCTAAAGTTAACGTCCGATTGGCTTGTAAATGGTCTCAATCGATTCCTTGACCCCGATTCCAGGTTGACAGCGATTTCCAGGTCACTAGGTCATGACCTTCAAGGTCAAGGTCAAGGTCAAAGGACGGGGAACGCTCTACAGCCTAAAGTTACCGTCCGATTGGCTTGTAAATGGTCTCAATCGATTCCATGACCCCGATTCCAGGTTGACAGCGATTTTCAGGTCACTAGGTCATGACCTTCAAGGTCAAGGTCAAGGTCAAATGACGGGAAACGCTCTACAGCCTAAAGTTACCGTCCGATTGGCTTGTAAATGGTCTCAATCGATTCTTCGACCCCGATTCCATGATGACAGCGATTTCCAGGTCACTAGGTCATGACCTTCAAGGTCAAGGTCAAGGTCAAAGGACGGGGAACGCTCTACAGCCTAAAGTTACCGTCCGATTGGCTTGTAAATGGTCTCAATCGATTCCTCGACCCCGATTCCAGGTTGACAGCCATTTTCAGGTCACTAGCTCATGACCTTCAAGGTCAAGGTCAAGGTTCGCGAATATCAAACTAAAAATTCGATATTCGGACGGGGAACGCAATAACTCAAGAACCAGTGAACCGATTTTGATGAAAAGACCCTCATTCGATTCCTCGTTCCTTATTGCAGGTTGACAGCGATTTCCAGGTTACTAGGTCATGACCTTCAAGGTCAAGGTCAAGGTCAAAGGACGGGGAACGCTCTACAGCCTAAAGTTACCGTCCGATTGGCTTGTAAATGTTCTCAATCAATTCCTTGACCTCGGTTCCAGGTTGACAGCGATTTCCAGGCCACTAGGTCATGACCTTCAAGGTCAAGGTCAAGGTCAAAGGACGGGGAACGCTCTACAGCCTAAAGTTACCGTCCGATTGGCTTGTAAATGGTCTCAATCGATTTCTTGACCCCGATTCCAGGTTGACAGCGATTTCCAGGTCACTAAGTCATGACCTTCAAGGTCAAGGTCAAGGTCAAAGGACGGGGAACGCTCTACAGCCTAAAGTTACCGTCCGATTGGCTTGTAAATGGTCTCAATCGATTCCCCGACCCCGATTGCAGGTTGATAGCGATTTCTAGGTCACTAGGTCATGACCTTCAAGGTCAAGGTCAAGGTCAAAGGACGGGGAACGCTCTACAGCCTAAAGTTACCGTCCGATTGGCTTGTAAATGGTCTCAATCGATTCCTCGACCCCGATTCCAGGTTGACAGCCATTTTCAGGTCACTAGCTCATGACCTTCAAGGTCAAGGTCAAGGTTCGCGAATATCAAGCTAAAAATTCGATATTCGGACGGGGAACGCAATAACTCAAGAACCAGTGAACCGATTTTGATGAAAAGACCCTCATTCGATTCCTCGTTCCTTATTGCAGGTTGACTTGACAGCGATTTTCAGGTCACTAGGTCATGACCTTCAAGGTCAAGGTCAAGGTCAAAGGACGGGGAACGCTCTACAGCCTAAAGTTAACGTCCGATTGGCTTGTAAATGGTCTCAATCGATTCCTTGACCCCGATTCTAGGTTGACAGCGATTTTCAGGTCACTAGGTCATGACCTTCAAGGTCAAGGTCAAGGTCAAAGGACGGGGAACGCTCTACAGCCTAAAGTTACCGTCCGATTTGCTTGTAAATGGTCTCAATCGATTCTTCGACCCCGATTCCAGGTTGACAGCGATTTCCAGGTCACTAGGTCATGACCTTCAAGGTCAAGGTCAAGGTCAAAGGACGGGGAACGCTCTACAGCCTAAAGTTACCGTCCGATTGGCTTGTAAATGGTCTCAATCGATTCCTCGACCCCGATTCCAGGTTGACAGCCATTTTCAGGTCACTAGCTCATGACCTTCAAGGTCAAGGTCAAGGTTCGCGAATATCAAACTAAAAATTCGATATTCGGACGGGGAACGCAATAACTCAAGAACCAGTGAACCGATTTTGATGAAAAGACCCTCATTCGATTCCTCGTTCCTTATTGCAGGTTGACAGCGATTTCCAGGTTACTAGGTCATGACCTTCAAGGTCAAGGGGTCAAGGAATCGATTGAGACCATTTACAAGCCAATCGGACGTTAACTTTAGGCTGTAGAGCGTTCCCCGTCCTTTGACCTTGACCTTGACCTTGAAGGTAATGACCTAGTGACCTGAAAATCGCTGTCAACCTGCAATAAGGAACGAGGAATCGAATGAGGGTCTTTTCATCAAAATCGGTTCACTGGTTCTTGAGTTATTGCGTTCCCCGTCCGAATATCGAATTTTTAGCTTGATATTCGCGAACCTTGACCTTGACCTTGAAGGTCATGAGCTAGTGACCTGAAAATGGCTGTCAACCTGGAATCGGGGTCGAGGAATCGATTGAGACCATTTACAAGCCAATCGGACGGTAACTTTAGGCTGTAGAGCGTTCCCCGTCCTTTGACCTTGACCTTGACCTTGAAGGTCATGACCTAGTGACCTAGAAATCGCTGTCAACCTGGAATCGGGGTCGGGGAATCGATTGAGACCATTTACAAGCCAATCGGACGGTAACTTTAGGCTGTAGAGCGTTCCCCGTCCTTTGACCTTGACCTTGACCTTGAAGGTCATGACCTAGTGACCTGGAAATCGCTGTCAACCTGGAATCGGGGTCAAGGAATCGATTGAGACCATTTACAAGCCAATCGGACGGTAACTTCAGGCTGTAGAGCGTTCCCCGTCCTTTGACCTTGACCTTGACCTTGAAGGTCATGACTTAGTGACCTGGAAATCGCTGTCAACCTGGAATCGGGGTCAAGGAATCGATTGAGACCATTTACAAGCCAATCGGACGGTAACTTTAGGCTGTAGAGCGTTCCCCGTCCTTTGACCTTGACCTTGACCTTGAAGGTCATGACCTAGTGGCCTGGAAATCGCTGTCAACCTGGAATCGAGGTCAAGGAATTGATTGAGACCATTTACAAGCCAATCGGACGGTAACTTTAGGCTGTAGAGCGTTCCCCGTCCTTTGACCTTGACCTTGACCTTGAAGGTCATGACCTAGTGACCTGAAAATCGCTGTCAACCTGCAATAAGGAACGAGGAATCGAATGAGGGTCTTTTCATCAAAATCGGTTCACTGGTTCTTGAGTTATTGCGTTCCCCGTCCGAATATCGAATTTTTAGCTTGATATTCGCGAACCTTGACCTTGACCTTGAAGGTCATGAGCTAGTGACCTGAAAATGGCTGTCAACCTGGAATCGGGGTCGAGGAATCGATTGAGACCATTTACAAGCCAATCGGACGGTAACTTTAGGCTGTAGAGCGTTCCCCGTCCTTTGACCTTGACCTTGACCACCTTGAAGGTCATGACCTAGTGACCTAGAAATCGCTGTCAACCTGGAATCGGGGTCGGGGAATCGATTGAGACCATTTACAAGCCAATCGGACGGTAACTTTAGGCTGTAGAGCGTTCCCCGTCCTTTGACCTTGACCTTGACCTTGAAGGTCATGACCTAGTGACCTAGAAATCGCTGTCAACCTGGAATCGGGGTCAAGGAATCGATTGAGACCATTTGCAAGCCAATCGGACGGTAACTTTAGGCTGTAGAGCGTTCCCCGTCCTTTGACCTTGACCTTGACCTTGAAGGTCATGACCTAGTGACCTAGAAATCGCTGTCAACCTGGAATCGGGGTCGGGGAATCGATTGAGACCATTTACAAGCCAATCGGACGGTAACTTTAGGCTGTAGAGCGTTCCCCGTCCTTTGACCTTGACCTTGACCTTGAAGGTCATGACCTAGTGACCTGAAAATCGCTGTCAACCTGGAATCGGGGTCAAGGAATCGATTGAGACCATTTACAAGCCAATCGGACGGTAACTTTAGGCTGTAGAGCGTTCCCCGTCCTTTGACCTTGACCTTGACCTTGAAGGTCATGACCTAGTGACCTGGAAATCGCTGTCAACCTGGAATCGGGGTCGAAGAATCGATTGAGACCATTTACAAGCCAATCGGACGGTAACTTTAGGCTGTAGAGCGTTCCCCGTCCTTTGACCTTGACCTTGACCTTGAAGGTCATGACCTAGTGGCCTGGAAATCGCTGTCAACCTGGAATCGAGGTCAAGGAATTGATTGAGACCATTTACAAGCCAATCGGACGGTAACTTTAGGCTGTAGAGCGTTCCCCGTCCTTTGACCTTGACCTTGACCTTGAAGGTCATGACCTAGTAACCTGGAAATCGCTGTCAACCTGCAATAAGGAACGAGGAATCGAATGAGGGTCTTTTCATCAAAATCGGTTCACTGGTTCTTGAGTTATTGCGTTCCCCGTCCGAATATCGAATTTTTAGTTTGATATTCGCGAACCTTGACCTTGACCTTGAAGGTCATGAGCTAGTGACCTGAAAATGGCTGTCAACCTGGAATCGGGGTCGAGGAATCGATTGAGACCATTTACAAGCCAATCGGACGGTAACTTTAGGCTGTAGAGCGTTCCCCGTCCTTTGACCTTGACCTTGACTTTGAAGGTCATGACCTAGTGACCTGAAAATGGCTGTCAACTTGGAATCGAGGTCGAGAAATCGATTGAGACCATTTACAAGCCAATCGGACGGTAACTTTAGGCTGTAGAGCGTTCCCCGTCCTTTGACCTTGACCTTGACCACCTTGAAGGTCATGACCTAGTGACCTAGAAATCGCTGTCAACCTGGAATCGGGGTCGGGGAATCGATTGAGACCATTTACAAGCCAATCGGACGGTAACTTTAGGCTGTAGAGCGTTCCCCGTCCTTTGACCTTGACCTTGACCTTGAAGGTCATGACCTAGTGACCTAGAAATCGCTGTCAACCTGGAATCGGGGTCAAGGAATCGATTGAGACCATTTGCAAGCCAATCGGACGGTAACTTTAGGCTGTAGAGCGTTCCCCGTCCTTTGACCTTGACCTTGACCTTGAAGGTCATGACCTAGTGACCTAGAAATCGCTGTCAACCTGGAATCGGGGTCGGGGAATCGATTGAGACCATTTACAAGCCAATCGGACGGTAACTTTAGGCTGTAGAGCGTTCCCCGTCCTTTGACCTTGACCTTGACCTTGAAGGTCATGACCTAGTGACCTGAAAATCGCTGTCAACCTGGAATCGGGGTCAAGGAATCGATTGAGACCATTTACAAGCCAATCGGACGGTAACTTTAGGCTGTAGAGCGTTCCCCGTCCTTTGACCTTGACCTTGACCTTGAAGGTCATGACCTAGTGACCTGGAAATCGCTGTCAACCTGGAATCGGGGTCGAAGAATCGATTGAGACCATTTACAAGCCAATCGGACGGTAACTTTAGGCTGTAGAGCGTTCCCCGTCCTTTGACCTTGACCTTGACCTTGAAGGTCATGACCTAGTGACCTGAAAATCGCTGTCAACCTGGAATCGGGGTCAAGGAATCGATTGAGACCATTTACAAGCCAATCGGACGGTAACTTTAGGCTGTAGAGCGTTCCCCGTCCTTTGACCTTGACCTTGACCTTGAAGGTCATGACCTAGTGACCTGGAAATCGCTGTCAACCTGGAATTGGGGTCAAGGAATCGATTGAGACCATTTACAAGCCAATCGGACGTTAACTTTAGGCTGTAGAGCGTTCCCCGTCCTTTGACCTTGACCTTGACCTTGAAGGTCATGACCTAGTGACCTGAAAATCGCTGTGAACCTGCAATAAGGAACGAGGAATCGAATGAGGTTCTTTTCATCAAAATCGGTTCACTGGTTCTTGAGTTATTGCGTTCCCCGTCCGAATATCGAATTCTTAGTTTGATATTCGCGAATATCAATCTGCTGCTCAATTGATGGACGTGTTTTTCCTGTGCCCTGTTTCACGGCACGACGCTATATTGCGCTACGCTACGTTACGGTATTGGTGCGGCGTTTGAGACGAATTGGCCCCAACAAACTCGGACGCTCCAGCGTTGCGAGCGTCCGAATCTGCTGAAGTTGCCATGGGAACTCAATACACCGATATGCGCAGCGCGCTGTAGCGTGGTGCCTTGAAACGGGACCTTGCATTTTCTATTGCTATAGAAAATAACTAATGTATGGAATTGGCAGAACTCGTCACAATTCAATGTCATATTTTTACATATACAAAAATATACCTAGAACCTACCTGGTAATTCATCCAGGACGTGGTGTTGCACCGTGCACGGCCGCTGCTAGCACGCTGCCAGTGGCACGTGGCAAATTCGTTTCCATGGAGTCGAGACACCAACAAACTCGAACGCTTCAATATTGAGCGACTTGACCATTACCTGTGACGTCAGCTCGCGAAATACGCTAGTACGAGTCGGCCCCCGCCGAAGTTAGTTGGTAGCACTGCTGCTCCACGGCGTACATTTCCTACCAGCCCATAGGGTTTACATGTTAAATGGCCTGTTTTCGGCGAGCGATATCTCGGTCAACCTTTGAAGGAATCAATGGTTCTTAGTCTCAAATGATAGATCGATGAATTTTCTTTCGACAATTCCTCTACCATTTTTCACGAAACCCAGCCGATCTTCTACGGCGTACAGGGTAAAGATTTCTCTGCACGCCAGCACCCGCGATCCGCCTCTCCGATCGTCGGTTCGCGGTCCTCGGTAGCGCAGTCGGTAGCGTATCGGGCTACAGATCCGAGGGTCGTGAGTTCGAATCCTGGGAGCGCCGCGTGATTTTGGCTAGAATTAAATGATGTAGATTCTTGAATGTTTGCATAATCAATTATTAATAGCTAATTGAATGTATCTGCCCACTAATCGGCCCTTAAAACCTGTTATTTAAGAAATTTAAGAAATGATTGTCACGTGCGCGTCACGACTGCCAACCATAAGCGCTACCATATTCTAGATTAAACTAACTTTTTGCTAGTCCCGACCACATATAGTAGGTTTTCTAGTAGTTATACTAGAAATTCCTACCAAAGTTCGTCCTACCCTTCACTCAATATACCCTGAGTACGAGTAGCGTGGTAGCAGCGTCCGTGAAACGCCGCCGAGATCAAGCGCCCAAATAAAGTGGGCGCTTTCCCCGTCGTTTGTGTACCCAATGTTCTATAATATATACTCTGGCCATTGCGGAGTGATTGGGATAGATAGGAGAGATGTAAAAGTGTTCGCGAGACGTGAAAATGCGGATGGAGGTAGGCTGAAGACGTTTCAGCAAGTCTTTCCAGTGACAGAGAGAACACAACAGTGGCGACGAGATTTCCGAACTTTCGTGGTTTTCATCATGGAAGGAGTGTTCAGCATGGCCCCTGCGCCTTTTCTTCCGTCGGCGGGAGAGCCAGCGATTCCGTGGGCGAGCTGGCTGCCCATGTTCCAGAATTTCTTGACGGCTGTAGGGGGCGAGACTTTCTCCCCAGCCCGTCAGCAAGCCACGCTCCTCACCTGCCTGGGGACGGAAGGTCAGCGAGTGTACCAGAACCTTCCCCCGGCCGTGAAAGGTGACAACGAAGACGACCTTCAGTTCGCCATCCGCCGACTGGGCGCGTTCTTCGAGCCCAAACGAAACGTGGTCAGCGAGAGGTATAGGTTCCGGAGCAGGGGCCAATTGTCTGGCGAGACCACAGCCCAGTGGGCCTCGGCCCTGAGACAGCTCGCTACTACTTGCGAGTACCGGGACCCCACAGACGAGCTCGTACGGGACCAGGTGGTGGAGCGCACAGCCTCCACACGACTCCGTCGAAGGCTGCTCATGGAGCCAGACCTGACGCTGGAGAAGTGCCTCGCCATCGCTGAGTCGTTTGAGAGTGCTGCACGGGAAGCCCAAGCACTGGAGGCAGCTACCTCCTCCAGCCAATGGAGCACGCCGAGTTCCAGTGACCAGGTAGTACGTCAGCGCCGGAGAGCAGCTGCACCTCCCAGGTGGCCCGCAGCTCCAGGGAGAGCCTGCACTGGGCCCAAGCTTACCAAATGCCGTGAATAGGATTTGGCAGCACTAGCCGGAGTTACCGGCAAGCGTATTTGGAATGTATTATTTTTATTTACGCTAATCTCGCCGAATGTGTCTAATGGTGTGAATTATTATTAATGTTGCCTGTATCATTAACTTACCAGTGATATTGGTCTTGCTATTTGCGAGGGACAGGCTGTCACATAATACATGAAAGCCGATAACTGAATATCTGACCAGCTGGTGATACTTCTGAATTTGCACCATTAGTTATAATTTCTCTTTTCGCTGCACGCCGTCTCACCGTCTCAGCTGGGCTCGCGTCTGTCTGACCCCCCCCCCCCCCCCTCCTGCAGTCACGGGTATACTGACCCCCCTCCCGCAGTCACGGGTATACTGACTCCCACCTGACCCCCTCCTGCAGTCACGGGTATACTGACTCCCCCCTCCCGCAGTCACGGGTATACTAACTCCCCCTCCTGCAGTCACGGGTATACTGACTCCCACCTGACCCCCTCTCGCCAGTCACGGGTATACTGACTCCCCCCTCCCGCAGTCACGGGTATACTGACTCCCACCTCCCGCAGTCACGGGTATACTGACTCCCCCCTCCCGCAGTCACGGGTATACTGACTCCCCCTCCCGCAGTCACGGGTAGGTATACTGACTCCCCCCTCCCGCAGTCACGGGTATAATGACTCCCACCTGACCCCCTCGCTTCGGCAGAGCGGACGATCTCTCGAAGCTGGGTGTGCTGACTTCCATCAAAACTAGCGAACATTGTGCCAAAAATAGGCGATGTGCTAGAAACAGTTGATGAATGCCGGGAGTGTCAACTGCGATACTCTTCCCTCAAAGACGTACCCCAGTTACCTATCACCAAAGTCGCATAAGGCACCGGTCCACGTCATGCTTCCATCACCTATTGCTATTCATTTGTATTGCTTATTAATGCACAATGCAACAAGTTCGAATAGACTTCGTATTCGTATCGTGTTATGGACTGGGTAATTGGGTATATTATGGTGTGCACCATTGGGAAGGGTTTATAGACTATACTCATTTAATAAAGCATGGATTGATCAAACCATGTGGGCCCGCGACATTGATGGAGAATCCGCAAGTTTGAGACTAAGCGGCTCCCTAAAAGTTATCATTTGTTTTGTGATGTATGGTTGCCAACCTACTGGTCTTCCCACAGGATCCTCCATAAATGGACGTCTCCCAGTCCTGCGTGGAACCTGTTCCCGGCTAGGGTACGCGATCTCCCCGGCTGTTCCCGGTCCCGAACGGCCTACCCGCTGCGCCCGCGGACTTTGTGGACTATCCGGAGACGCTGTGATCCTGGTCGTTCATCTCCTCATGTCGATCCATATCCGTAACGTCTTGTTTTCTAGTCAAATCGTGTACAGAACTTTAGACATTCGTAACAATAAATAGTTGGGAGGCCAGTTTCACCAACAGAAAAATAGCCGCCTGCCGGAATTGTCTGCCTAAAGGCCACTTCACATACGAAGCGTAAATGGCAAAACCCTATCCGCTTACGTGCCCATCGCGTTTCCGCTCCGTGTGTGAAATGTCTTCAGGCAAAACTTTCCAGCAGGCGTCTATTTTTCTGTTGGTAAGACTGGCCTCTGCAGACGTTAAAAATTATTGCGTTCCCCGTTGCTGCCGTATGCAAGATTCTTTCGATGCGTACCTACAATCGAAAAAATTGCAAATGTCAATCAGCATTTTTTGCACGCGTTATGCATCACACGACATGACGTGAATGCTTCATCAATGCTGCCATACGTACTGTGTTGCGTTTGATCTTTATGCCCAATAAATGTGCAGCTCCTACGCTACCAGCAGCAATGACATATTTTGGTCTCTGTTATTTTCTATACGAGCGAAAGAGTAGACCGAAATGACGTGAGCAGCGTGCGGGTACCTATCGCTATGAATCGGTGTCCTGCCTACTAGCGTGTTACTGACCGTCACGTGACCTTGGCACGACACTCGCCATAATGCATGGTACGGGCATCATTTCACACGTTGGCACGCTTATAATCACAAAAAGGTCCAAAAACGGTACGTTCACCCGAACTCCTCCCCCTCCCCCAGAACCCGGACAACCCCTGACTTCACCCGAACTCCTGACTTCACCCGAACTCCTGACTTCACCCGAACTCCTCCCTCTCCCCCAGAACCCGGACAACCTGTCGGAGCTGGGCTCCCCCTCCGGCTCGTCTTCCGGCTCAGACTCCGACTCCGACTCCGAAGAGGAGGAGGTGGACGCGTCGACTCGCCGATCCGGGGCCAGCGAGTCGAGCGAGTACTCGGACTGGGTGGCAGAGTCGGGAGTCAGCCTGAACCCGCCGCAGCGGCAGCCCAAACGGGTCAGTAACGAGTCAATAACACAGCCCACACGGGTTTGTAACGGCAACCCATACGGGTCGATAGCTATGGGCTAATAGGTCAGTACCGGCAGCCCGAACGGGTCAGTCGCTCTCTGACGGGACCACAGGCACCGGGAGTCCAGTATCAGTGGCTGGGTTGGGACTTTTGTTTGATCAGCAGCTACACCTGTGAATGCTGAGCCCTCAGCTCTCCACATGACGCGGCTTGCAATGTTTGCTTCGCGTAGACTTGCGTGCATATAGAGAGCTTTGTGGCACGCACCACCATGTCTGACCGCTGCGGCGGGTGAACTGTGTCTGACCGCTGTCTGACTGTCTCCCCTGTTCTCCGCCGCACAGCTCACAGCTCGTCAACGGGCGCTGCGGCGCCGGATGCGCAGCGGCGCGTCCGAGCCGGACCCTGAGCCGCGTCCCGGCCCCTCGGGCACCCAGTCCCGACCCCGGCGGGCCTCCCCGCCGCCGCCGGCCCCCGCCGAGGAGGAGGAGGCTGTGGGGTCGCCGGAGTCGACCGCCCGCGCCGGCACCAGCTCCGAGCGCCAGCGGCCGTCCCGGGCCGCCAGAAAACGGGTCAGTCACGTCTGACTATGTCAGCCCTGCGTGCTACAGCTGATTCTCTCGTTTTCTGGTAGACTATGATCAAACTCCTCCACTTATTTTCAATTGCTAGTGTGTCAAAAGGTGTTTTCAATAAGAATAACGATGATATATTGACTATATCTGACAACGGAATGACCAACAAACGTAAATTCCTCTGCTGAACTGGTGACATATCTGCGTCTGACTGCTGCCATCCCCTCTCATACGGCTGCTTTCTCCTCTTTCACTGCTGCCGTCCCCCCTCAGACGGTCGCCGGTGGTAGCGGTGAGTCGGCGGCCTCCGACCCTGCCCCGGCGGCGGCCACCTCCAGCGCCCAGCAGCAGCTGGTCGACACGCTGGCTCCGTCCGCCTGGCTGTCCGAGGTGCTGCCCAGGAAGACGCCCTACTTCCCTCAGATGGGGGACGAGGTGAGACACGCTTCTGCCTTGTAGGTACATGTCGCTGGACTGTTGGAGTGCTCTCGAACACCTAATATACTTTTCAAATCGAGTGCCTGGTAATTGTAACTTGCAGTTAAACGTCATTATGTTGTTAGTAAGCATAAACGCGCTTGCATGGCATCGACACCTCCATTCCGTCATTATCTGTCTGCCTCTGTCACCGGCTATTGGCCGTTCTGCCAGACTGTTGTTTCTGCTCTAACTGATCGTCCCCTGTGCTTGTTGCAGCTTATCTACTTCCGTCAAGGCCACCAGCTGTACGTGGAGGCGGTCAAACGGCGAAAGATTTACGACATCCGGCCACAGAACCTGCCCTGGGTCAAACAGGTCCTTCGGGTGAGTGAGGAGGGCCATCAAAACGCCGAACCTTTCCTGTGAGTGCGGAACACAGATTCTTCCCTGGGTCAAACAGTGCGGGTGAGTAGAAAAAAGTCTTAGAGAAGTTCGTACTCTGTGTCAGGATCGCAGAATATTCTGCCCTGGGTCAAATGAATACTGCAGGGAATGAGGCTCGAGCCTACCTGTTGTGGCTGTCGCCGACAGAAGCAAGGCTGCAACGTACAGTCATTTCAGTTAAGTCGTCAGAGTTTTTATACAACGCTCAGAGCTCACGAAATGGTGCAGCGTTTCTGAAATTCTTTGCTCTGCCGTCCAAACCAAAACAAGCGTAACTCACTTTTTGGCCATTTTGAGATAATGGTATCGTTCGACGGAGAATCGAATACGGAATCTATATACCAATTTATAGACTTTAATGCTGAATATATTTCAAGTTATTTTAAATTTTATTTTTATGAAGAAGCGTATCTTCTCAAGTGAGCTAACTTTACAAAAGAAGAAAAGCGTAACTCATAATAATGGACGATAAAAAGCGTAACTCAGGAGTTACGCTTTTCTTGCATGGAATTATGGAAAATGTTGTTGAGTTACGGTTTTATGAAAACATATTTAATCAATGCCCTTTGTCCCAACTTGCCATTCATAGCAATGGCAAGGAGCCACACCGCTCTCGTGTGGGCACCAGTGCGGAGCAGCGCCATGGTATGGGACGTGGGGTATTCCATATCATGGTATGAGGTATCCCGATGTTAGCTTCCTCTCGGCAACCGGGAAGATCCGCAGAGCCGCCCATTAGACTGTTCGCACTTCGCCAACCGGGGAGGAGGGAGGGTGGCAGCCAACCCACCGTTGGCATTGGGTATAGCCGGTCCCGTGGCCGGCTCAGGACTCATGAACGCACGCGCGGCCGCCCACTCGCCGCCGGTAACGGCTGGGGATTGCGGCGAGCCCACCACCCGACGGTTTCATCCGGTCGACCAGGCCTGGAGGGAGCGGGCTCTCGTCACTCTGGCAGAGGCTCGGTGGATTGCCACAAAGTCCACTGGGTGTTTGGGTTGAGGGCGCTGGCTTCCTCGGCGATGCTGTCGACTGTCTCGCTGCCATTAGGATCTCAGAGCGATGGCACCCACTGAAGATGGACATGCCAGCCCCTGCTGTCAGGCCTGGTCGATTGGGCCCTCGTCGTGCGACAAGTCCTCCAGCAGGTAGATCGGTGCTTCCTAGACAGCGAGCATCCGACACGGAAGTCGGAACACAGCCGACCCGTTGGGATTCATATTTTGTTGTTGTTTTTGTCGTTTATTCCATCGGCTCAGATCAGCGCCCGGGAAACGTTTTGTTCTGGTGTTAGCTGTTATACCCGGCGGCCAAGGCAGCCACGCCCCGTCGGCCCGCCTGTCCGGTGAAGGTACTGGGCTGCTACGTTGCAGTGTTTCGCCCGAAGCTGGTGGACGTCCACCGTTACCTCCCTGTTGTCCGCCCTGGCAGGCGCTGGTAGTGAGCCGGCGTTGTAGATGGAGCTATACCCGCCTGCCGACCAGTCCGCTCGCCATTCTCCGCGGGTGGCCCTGGCGGCAGTCCTTGCCGCTAAGCCACTGTCCACGGTCTGCAGCGCCGCGTAGAAGTCGGTCCAGATGAGGCAGAAGCGCTGGTCTTGGGCCTTGGTCATGGTTATGATCGACCCTGCTGATGTCATCAAGCGCCGTCTTGAGAGCTCGGCCCTGGTCATGGAGCAGAGGGAGCCCGCCGCAACCCTTACCGTCATTCCTTCTCCTCTGTCCGAAAGGAAGATCAGAGAAGATCCTCCACCTTCGCGGATTCCGTCCCCCCTCCCCCACCGAGCCATCTCCCTATACGAGACACATGTAACGTAGTCCGCTCCTCGGATGTTGCGGAGTCGTTCCTCTGTGGACGCTCACAGGTTCGCCGAGGACTCACTACGGAGGCAGCCGGGGTCGTGTGTGTGTGTGGGGGGGGGGGGGGGAGATCGTCCAGTCGATGGTGTTCTCCGCGCGGGACTACCAGGGCGCAGAGAGGCGGCTAGCGCGGGCTCGATGCGTGGTAAATGCGTCATCGCGGGGCCATGCAGGTTGGGAGTAGCCAGCATCTCTCGGCCGACATCGCGGCAGCCACGAGTGACGCTGAGTCGCTGGCCTGTTGCTGTGGCACTGAGGCCAACTCCCTGAGCGGCATATCTTCTGGGACAGCCAGGGCACTGCTTGCATTGAGGTAGTATTTCGTGATCTTCCCATCCGGCCACACGAGGTCTCGGCGCCTCTTCGTTCCACGTCCATGTGCGGAAGTGCTGCCAGGTGTTAGAAGGCTGTGTCCATTCTCCTTCCTTCGCTGGCCGCCGGTATAGGTGGGGCTCCGATGTTCAGTAATGGTGATTGGTGGCGACAGCTTCCATGGCGGGTCTCTCAGGCAGAGGAGCGGCTCGGAAGATGTATGTACTCCGAGCTCGACACGCTGTCCCACAGTTCCTCGGCCGTGCTCCTCCATCCAGGCCGCAGGGATGGAGGAGCACGGTCTCCGCTACACCTCTCCGCTGTCGCTCGCAGCGTCTGGAAGGGGAAGGACTTTGGCTGAGGCCCTATTTACCACTTTGACCAGCAGGCGCGCAGCTATACCAAACGCTCAGCTACTGAGGCTCGTCGTGCTTCCACCATCACGACGTGGGCCGGGATGTACCGGGACAGCCAGTTGCCACCCTGGCGGCGGCGCCGAGACCTCGTGTGGCCGGCTGGGAGGACCACGAAATACTACCTCAATGCAAGCAGTGCCCTGGCTGTCCCAGAAGATATGCCGCTCAGGGAGTTGGCCTCAGTGCCACAGCAACAGGCCAGCGACTCAGCGTCCTTCTCCAGAAGCGGTGATGCTTTTATCTCACTCGCCAAAGGCATCGTACCCGGTGACGTCCGCCTGTGACAGCTGCGTTTCAGTAAACGCGCTGCCCGCATCAGTTGTCCAAATGAGTGTCCGTAAAAGAAACTGTTGTGGATAGCTTCGGAGGTTTTGATAGGATGATTGAAGAAAACAGACGAAAACTGAATATCCTTGAGGATGACGACTTCTTCCATTTCGATGATAGGGGAGCGAAACAAAACTGGGGTTGCCAGCTAAGATTCCATATTCTGATGACGGACTTCAGGGTTATCCAAGTACCGGGGGGGGGGGGATAAAAGCAATCTTCGCTCGACGTCTTTGTGGATACGTCGAAGAAGTCCTTTTTGTAACGAAGTCGTGCGAAGAAACGACTTTGTGCCTCCTGATGAAGGCTACCTTTGACAAGACGCCCCAAAGAACAACCCTTATGAGATGAAACAAACTTAGGCTTACTTGATTATCGCCGCTCTACGTCCTATAATTAGCGACTACATGAGTTACTTCGGAGAAGCCATCAAAGGCCAAAGCAGTCGGTGAAACTGGGCATCAGGAATCTGACCAGGTAGATATGTAGGCTAAGACCACTGCGAGCTGCGATCGCCGGCCGCTTGTTCGGTAAATCTAGTGCCAAGCTTGTAGCGATAGCCTCAGGAGACAGAAGCCTCAGGTGGCGTCTGGTTTGAACTTGATTATTGTATTGGTAACCGAATATCCTCGTCGGATTTCTCATTGACAATGTTTTGATGGGCCTGATGGCTGCTTTCGCTGTTATTTCGGACGTGCGAGGTCCATAAAATATTATGGTATAAAGCATTCACCTTGTACAAAATAAGCGCATAATGGAAAAAAGCTCCCTTTTTCAGATAAGAAAAGCGTAACTTGTGAGTTACGCTCTTTTTTAAAGCATCGCCTGGCGCAGTAATGAGTTACGCTTTTTTACCATGGCGCTGTTTGGAGTTACGCTTTTCATCCTTTTGGCGGTACAAGCGGTTCGCCCAAAAAGTGAAAGGAAAAAAACCTTTTGCCAATTTACATTTAACTTAAACCATTGTTGGAACATCACTGCATACCACAAATATCTCTGTTTCTCAACGAGTTCAATGATGCATGCAATTCCCATATTGGAATGATACATTAGCGACAATGTCTCCAAACAGTAAATCGGCTCTCCTGAAAAATCGTAAAAAGTGAGTTACGCTTCTTTTACTTTGCACGGCAGCTGTGCTCGTTTGCTGCTTTTAAGCTATCAGTTTCAGCATTTAACAACGATGTGACGAGTTGTCCCAGTGTCGTGGTCGGTTCGGTAACCTCTGCTCGCTGTGCGCTGACCCGCGCGCTCTCCCTCCATCCAGGACCGTGAGCTGGTGCGGATAATCGGCATCAAGTACGAGCTGCGGCCGCCGTGCCTGTGCTGTCTGAAGCTGGGCCGCCTGGACCCGGAGACGGGCGCCGTGAGCGGCGGCAGCTTCACCATCAAGTATCACGACATGCCGGACGTGGTCGACTTCCTGGTACTACGGCCGACGTATGAGACGGCCATGAGCCGCGATTGGCAGCCCGGTGAGAGTGCTGGGGAATGATGGAGGGAGGAGAGATGGCTATGAGCCGCGACTAGCCCAGTGGGAGGGGTGGGGAGAAGCAGGGAAGGTGGCTGATGAGACGGGCGGGCTGGGAAGGAGGCTATGGCGGGGTATGTTGTGTTTATATTTCTCTCACTTTCTTGCTGCTGGGTGTGGAAGTGAATCCCTGTACGTTGATTTGTCTCCCCACCCCTGACACCGTCCCTCCGTTCGGCCGGCCAGACGACCGGTTCCGTTCAACGATCGACGACGCGTGGTGGACGGGCCGGGTGCTGGAGCGGCGGCCGCTGGACCCGGAGTCGCCCGAGTCGCCGTTCCTCTGCTACCGCGTGGCCTGGGACACGGGCGAGTCGGAGCCGCTCAGTCCCTGGGACATGGAGCCGCTGGAGGCCGGCTGGCCGTCCGACGACGAGGCCAGCCAGACGTCCGTGCCGCTGACGGACGAGGAGCTGCGCGGCGCCCTGCCCGGCTGGCGACAGCGGCCCGAGGACTGGGCCAACGACAGCCCCGAGGCCCAGATGGACCGCATCCGGCGCTGTCTGGAGATTGTGATGCAGCTGGCGATCGCCGAGCCTTTCCTGGCGCCGGTGGACCTCAACCGGTACCCGACGTACGCCCAGATCGTGGAGTACCCCATCGACTTATCGACCATCAAGGTGCGTCCGAATGGTCAGCGGAGGAGGGATGCCCTGGCTCATGGCTCAGATTCCTAGCATAGCTCAGTACAAATTAATCTTAGAATATGGCCGATGAACTACGTAGTTTAGAATGCTCACCGTTGATTTGTTCTGAATCCGCCACGCCATGGTTACAACTTTCTCTTGATCGTATTAGTTTTAACTTTACTATAACTTTCTTATAGTTAACACGCGCACCGACGGGGGGGGCGGATATCCGCCCCCCCCCTGAGGTTTTTCGCGAATAGCGGGAAAACCGCGGCGCGTAGCGCCGCGAAATTTATTACGACTATTCCCTCATCAATTTTACACATGGTGTGCAAGTTTGAACCTCCTAACTTTAAAGGTCAGGTCACCAGGTCACTTTGAGTGACATGCACCATGGTTTGGTTTGGAAAATTGTTTGAAAAATAGTGTTGAGTTGCATTATCTGTTACCTACAAGTTGTGATATAAATCATAGCCACAGACAGATCATAGCATGATGTTGGAGCGGCAATACAATTATTGCCTTCTTACTTCCACTGCTGCTGTTGAAATACAAACAATAACTCATTTGTTAAGAGAAAGGCATGGTTGGGGTTGAAATTTCCAATAGCTGGTACCTAACATTTCCACTGTGGCTAGATTAGTTATGTCTATTGATTAATGTTAACCAAAGCTATTACCATCAATAACCACCTAAAATAGCCAGAAAGTTCACACCTAAACCAAATTATGAACACTGAAAAGTATAGGCACCAACAGCTCGGACAAAACATAGCCTAACCAAACCAAGCCTAAACTAACAGAACCTAACCTAAACTTACCCAAAATACACCTACAACATACATCTACAACCAAAACCTACTCGTGTCATTATTGAAAATAGACTAAATTAACTAATAACAGGAAAATCAGCATTTTATTAGCTTTTTGATGTTTGCAAATGACAAACAATGATATTTCACATGGAAAAGCACCTATACTATACATTTTTACTAATGTTTGAACAGATACTATCACTATGGAAATCTTCACCATGGTTGGTGGTTCAGTGCACCATCCAAGCCGAGGTCATTCATCCACCTTTTTGATCAGCTAGATATATAGTTCAAGTTGCTGTCTTATTCATAGGTAATAAGAATGATCTACAGTAAGTGACATATTTATGAATATTCCTGCAGTCAATTCATTCTCAAAATTAGCTACCTAGCACATGGTTTGACAAGACTGCATGTCTGATATCATCATATCCGAGTCATTGGGTAAGAAGGTATCCAGGTACAAGCAGAAATGGGGACAGTTTTTTGAAAAGATGCTAATCAGGACAGACTCATCAAATAAATGCAGAAACATTGTTTTAGATGGGCACACGTTGAAAATATAAGCAAATGGGCTAAAATTTCATCGTATCAGTATGGACCTATGGTCATTATTCACAAGTTATGGGCAACAATCAGCACCATCTTCTCTGATCAGAGAGGATAGTGCTCGAGTTGAAGGTGAAAAACTTCTTCACAATGTAAAATTAAAATAATTCTGAAAATAAAAATACCTACCAGGTTTCAGAGACCTACCCAGCGACGCATTATCATTACGTTGCTTCTATATATCCTGATCATTACCCTCTCTGAAAACGGAAGACACGCGACGCGTTGTTTGCGCCGTAGTTTGTCACGCTGGCGCCAGCAAATGCGGCTACTAAATAATTGCGTTGCATTAAACCGAACCCGGCCCCCGACACCGTAAGAGGTGCAATTTCCCTCGAGACATTACCCAGCGTGCATGGCATCAAATCGGAAGAAACTTGCACCACACAGTTCAAAAATGATCGAGGCTGTCACATATGTATAGTATTTGCCATATCTTTCATCAAATCATGAGATAGCTTGCGTCCATGTTGCAGCCTGGACACCAGTCCGAGGATGAAATTTTTGTTCATTTTCGAAAGGCAATATTTTTATATCAACAGCAATCTAAGAGTTTGTATGTATCTTATAACGAATTCCAGTGTCTTATCTTCTAAAAAATGCATTACAGTCATAAAAATATTGACTAGACTCCCTACAAGCATTCTCGACTGGTGACTAAAAATCGAAGAATTTTTCATCCTCGGACACTCTGTAAGAAAACAGCTATAATTTCCCTAATATTCAATATTTTTCGATTATATCTTCAGCAAACATGGAGAACGATCCATTTAACATGCTAATCCAAACAGCAGATGATTTGGAAACTTCATGAAGGCGTGAGAGATCCCCGCGGTTACCTGGAAAATTTCATCCTCAGCCTGGCCTTTTTAATGCTTTTTCATCCTAATTTCATCATTCAGTTGTAGAACTAGTTTAATGCAATTCTTCAGGGAATGTTTATACAAAAGCAATAAATTAATTTAATTTTAATTTTTAGACATTATTTGATTGATAATATTGTATTATCGAGTGTATTTATCTGCACTTACCTACACCTTTTTATTGTTCTGTTTCTTTTTTTAATCGAGGCAATCACGAAGCGCATGGTACATACACTGTGCTGAGATATTTCCATGTGTCATTACTATCATTGCTGATTGGAAAGGAAGGTGCGTATAATTTATCATGTATATTTTTTGTGGTTTTCATGATAGGTGCAGTTTTTAACCTTCTAACATTATTTTGGGACATTTTAACCGATTTGAATAAGGATTTGGTGCATTTGTGTTGAAAGATGAAAATTATGAGCCAGGATGAAAAATTAGCAGATTTCATTAACTGTGATTTTCCAGGCTAAAACCGGAAAAATTTTACACTGTCGAGGTCACGTGACCTGAGGTCAACCTTTGACCTTGACCTTTCGAGGTCAACATATATATCATTCGATGCGGATTGACGAGAGGATCACGGTGATGCCCTTAGTTTGTTCCTATCTTGACTAATTCGAAAGTTATTCGAGAAAAACTCTCTCCATATCTAGCGCCGCCATTTTGACTTTTTCGACCCCTGTGACGTCATCTTTGACCTGACCTGAAAATGACCTTAGTAAAAATTGTAGACCTTGACCATGCGTATCCGATGCCGTTTACCGCTTGTCGCTATCTTGCTCCGTTCTCGAGATCTCAGGGGGGGGGGGGGCGGTCATCCGCAGATCAAGTTGGCGCAGACCCCCGTCGGTGCGCGGGTTAAGTGTTTTAATTTTGCTCTGGAACTGTGAAATTTCACGGTCCGCTACCATTAATTACAGTTCTCCGTAAAATCACCCTCCTGCGGTATTTTTCTCCGCCGTCATTTACTTCCGATCTCCTGTCTTGCAGGCTCGTCTGGAGAACGGTTTCTACCGTCGCATCACGGCCGTCCAGTTCGACGTGCGCTACCTGGCCTCCAACACGGAGAAGTTCAACCAGCCGCACTCGACCATCGTCCGCTCGGCGCGTATCATCACGGACGTGTGTCTGGAGATGATCGGCGACAGCACGTGCCACGACCCGGCGCCGCTGTACCGGCGACACGCGGCCGCCTATAACAGCGGCGGGGGACGCGAGAGGGACCGGCGCGGCGGCGGCCAGCGCGCCGGGCCGGCCGGAGCGGGCACCGGCGGCGGCCGGCGCGGGTCGCAGCGCTCGCCGCGCGTCACCAGACAGGTATGTACGGGGGAACGAGGCGGCGGCCCGTGGGTCGGTGGAATTCAATAGTTTTGGTCTGAGTATTATCTGTCAACTGGTTTGACCACTGGTTGAATTGGGGTTCACTAAGTAACGTTTATTGGACGTTTAGGCGCTTATGAACTGTGACGCAACTGCTTTAGCCATAAGGTTAAACGTTAATGCATAACTTTTTATTCACTGTTCCTGTGTTTTGAGCCAATTTGAGCGTAGCCCGGCTACTTGTGCCAGTCATCAGTCCGGTCCGCTAACCCTCTCCCCTCGTTGCCGCCTCCCTCTCCCTATTTCGGGCCGTCCCATGAATGACCGTCTGTCCCTCAGATCGCGCGGCGCCGGTTCGCCGACAAGACGTGGCAGGAGCTGTGTGCAGAGCTGCTCGACAACCTGGTGCGGCACGAGGACTCTGGACACTTCCGCGAGCCGGTCAACCTGGACGACTACCCCGACTATCTGAACGTCAGTACCTAATCCCCCGCATATCAGTGGGCCAGTCCATTGACCCCTGTCCCCTGCTGGTCGCATGACGGTGTACTTATGGTATACATGGGGCTTAGCTCCTGTAGCGTCGGTGATGGGTGGCGGATGAGTTTGATATGTTGTGTGGCGCTGGTAATTCTTGGCAGCAGTGTTATGGCACCTCTAGTATAACGTCGCGATGGGGATGAGAATGAAGTACATTTGTCAGCGTTGCTCGATCAACGCCTTACTGATAACAGTTCACGTAGAGTTGAAGCCCTCCACTGACGCCTACCACTGGGCCGCGGTTGTCACGGACGTGATCCGACCCTGACCGCTTCCGTTCACCCCCCGGCAGCTGGTGGAGAGTCCAATGGACCTGAGCTCCGTCAGAGAGGAACTCGAGGCCGGCTCCTACGTCTCGCCGCAGGAGTTCGCCGACGACATCAGACTCATCTTCCACAACTCCAAGACATACAACACCAACAAACGATCCACGGTAGGGGGCGGAGCGGCGCTCCGTCTTATAATAATTTCATCCAGTACATCTAAAAGAGGCCTTTGTCAACAGTCTCGTACTCTGTGAAGATTTATTTACAATTGTACCGTATGTTGTTAAGTAAAGATTTCATGTCCTTTAAACCAAAGGTTCGCCGAGCTTTTTGTCCATAACATAATTATTTTTGGCCAACCGGAGCATCCTCACCACCGCTCAACCTCAATGCCGTTTCAATCTCAATTCTGCCTCCCGTGTGACGTGTCTTCTTCACTCCTTACCGCTCCTCCACAGATTTTTGCCATGACGCTGCGACTGTCGTGCTACTTCGAGGAGCAGATGCGGCCGATCCTCACCTACTTTGTGACCGGCCAGCGGCCGACCCGCTCCAGCCGGCGGCGGAACAGCGACTCGGACCCGCAGCCCTCCTCCAGTCGACAGCCCGGTGGGTGGACGCCGAGGGTCGGACTGACTTGGACTGGACAATAGTCAGCGGACGGAGACGGAGGGGAATCGGGGAGGGGTTGTGTCTCTCCTATCTGACTCAGGTTTAGGGGCAGGTGAATCATATGGGTTTGAGTCATTGTTAAGTGTTTCACAGTGCTGGGTTCTTGACGACCTGATTTTGTCGTTTTCGCCTCAGGTCCCTCGCGAAGCCGTCCCCCGGAGCAGAGCGGCCGGCCGGTGAACGGGTTCGCCCACTCCTCCGAGGAGGAATCTGAAGAGGAGGAGGAGCTCCCTCCGCGGCTGGCCCGCAGTCGGCCGTTCCGTCCGCCGGCGCAGCCCGCCTCTGGCCGGCTGCGGGGCCGCGTGCCCGTCTCGTACGCAGAGGACAGCGACTCGTCTGTGACGCGGCTGGCCCGCCGGGGTCGACTGGCGGCGCCGCTGGGGCCGCCGCCGCCGCGGCTGCACCCGGTCCGCACGGGCCCGGCGCAGCGGCGTGCCATGGCGGCGGCAGCGGCGGCGGCGGCGGCCGAGCAGGAGGAACCGGACGACGGCGCGGGAGGAGAGGGCGCGGAGGACGGCGGCAGCTCCAGCGGCTCCAGCTCCTCCAGCTCCAGCTCCAGCAGCCAGGAGGACGCGGAGGAGGAGGAGGAGGCGGTCGATGAGGATGAGGACGAGGAGAGTGAGACCGAGTCGCCGCGCCTGCGGCCGAGCCGGACCACCAAATACGACCACGACAGCGACTGGGAAGTGCGCGAGAGAAGGGACAGCCCGCCGGCGCGTCAGCCGCGCCGCACCGGACGCGCCCGGCCGCAGACCGCCCGCGCCTGGCGCCAGATCTCTGGCGACGATGATGACGACGACGACGATGATTTCCAGCCGTCGCCGCCGAAATCACGCACTCGCAGTCGCACGGCGTCCAAAAAGGCTCCCAAGCGGCGGCGGGCGGCAGACGACGATGACGATGACGAAGACTCTGACGCGGTGGGCCCGTCTCGACCGTCTGCCAAGCGGCGGCGCGCGCCAGCCGTCAGCGAGGAGTCAGAAGAGGAGGAACCACCGCCCCCTCCGCCGCCCCCGCCGCCGCCGTCTGCCAAGCGGAAGCATGCGCCGGCCGTCAGCGAGGAATCAGAAGAAGAGGAGGCCGCGCCGCCGCCGTCACGAACCAAACGGCTGCGGCTGCCAGAGAGTGACGACGAGTCGGACGAGCCCACCCCACCGCCGCCCAAGGCGCGCGACCCGCGCCGGCGGCGGCGACACTCGTCTCATGAGGAGAGTGAAGGGGAGGCGCCGGCGCCGGCGGCCAGCCGCGCGGGACGGCGCGTCCCCCGCCGGCCGGCCCGGCTCCTCGCCTCGGACGACGACGAGACGGGCGGCGCGCACGGGCACACGAACGGCACCGCCGGCGGCCGGCAGAAGTCGAGCCGCTCGGCGGCGGCGCGCGCTCATGCCCTGCTCGCGCTCTCCGACGAGGACGAGGATTCGGACGAGGCGCGCAGCGCGCGGCTGGCGCGCCGTCTGGCGCACGCCGACGCCGGCTGGGGCGGCCGCCCGCCGGAGCCGCGCCGGCGCTCGTTCGTCTCGGCCGAGGACGAGGCGGCCGATGGCGCGCCCCGTATCAGCGTCAGCAGTCGCGGCCGGGTGCGCAAACTGAACCCGCATGCGTTCGTGACGGACTGACAGGCGGCCGCCGGCGATCCGCGGCGACGCACCCGCTCAACACGGCCGGGTGCGACCGGTGGGTCCGGCGCCGGCGGCCGCTGACATCGCAGATACACTCTAACTGACGCTCATTTCGGCGGTGACCGTGCCACCGACCGGTGCGGCCACCCGCCAGACACGCCGCCGCAGCATGGATCAATGACGGGTGATTCCGCGAGTCTCTTGTTTTCCATTTTTGTCATTTTCTTTGCTCAATTGTTGAAATAAACTTGTGAATAAATGTCTTTATAATATAAAGCTTTTTCCGTAAGGGTTACCGATCGCAAAGTGAGTCCAGTCATTCAAGTGGTCGAATTTGGTTTGCATGTAGTTTGTGCGCCTAGATTTACCCCACAGGGAGCTAGCTAGACGCAGGTGAAAGTGAAACAGTTGTCTACTGTTACTGGTAAATGTATTGTCCGCTGGCTAACACCAATGCGTCGCCGTTAGTTCTCTACGCCGTGTTAAAAACAACCACTGACACTGGCGGCCACGGTTGGGCCGGCCGGCCGGTTATCCAGGCCGACCTCCGACCCCGCCGGTCATCCACGCTGACCTCTGACCCCTCACCCCGCCCTCCGGCGGGCTCCGCGCGGAGCCTGGCGGAGGGCCCGGTCAGCGCACAAATCACACGCACATATCACACGCAGCTGCGAGCGGGCCTAAAAACATCGCCCGGGGAGGCGGCACGCAGCCAATCGGCACAGTATAGTACAGTCACGGGTCACGCGGCCGGCATTCAGTGCGGCCGCGGGTCGCACGATCGGCATTCAGCGCAGCTGCGCGTCACAGGCCGGCATTCAGCGCAAACATAGGTCACATGGCCGGCATTCAGCGCAAACACAGGCCACACGACCGGCTTTCAGTACAGCTACGACTGGTTCCATCGGGGTTCAATGCAGCCGTGAGTCACGCGGCCATTATTCAGTATCGTCACGGGTCACAGGCCGGTACTCAGTACAGTCGCGAGTCACACGGCCGGCAATCATTGCAGTTGCGGGTCACAGGCCGGCACTCGGTACAGTCGTGAGTCACCAGGCCGGCATTCAGTGAACTCACGGACCAGCGGCGGGCATTCAGAGCGCACGGAGCAGCGGTCGCCGCGGCGGCGCCGTGTCCAAAGCAGAGGCAGTGTAGAGGCTGACGGTTGGGTGGTGTTAGCACGAGACGGGGGGGGGGGGGGTAACGGGGGACGGGACGGAGAAAGACCGGGGAGACTCCGCACCACAGACACCAGCTAGAAACACACGCGAGCGACACACACGCATCAACACACCGAGTAAATGCGACTCAACACCGCACGTCACGGAGAAGCAGCGCGCGCCTCCTCTCGCCCGGCCCGGCCGCCGGAGGCCGCCGGGCGCCGGTCCGCAGCCTGACTAGCACACTAGCTCATCCAACGTCCGAGCGCCGTCACGGAGCCGCGGCGAGTTAGCACGTTCACACAAGCTTTTAGTTGTTTAAACCTGCGCACCGCCTCACCCTCGCTCGGCACCAGCACACACATAGTCACGTGACCGCACTGGGGCGCTCATCACGGGTCACGAGTCACTGAGTCCACCGCCGTCCGGCGGCCCGACAGTCCGCTGTAGATACCTCGCCACCGACGGCGGCACCGGTTACATGACGGAACAGGCGGCCCCACAGCAGAGAGGCAGACAGATGGGGATCACGGCGCCGCCCTCGGCGTGCGTCTCCTTGGAGCCCGCCTTGGCCTTGTACTTGCCCTTCGCCTTGTAGCCGGAGGCGTACTTTCCGCCGCCGCGCGACTCGTACGACTGGAACTGACGGAGGGGGAGGGCGGGAGGGCGTCTTCATTTCATAATACGAACGAAAGATGGCGTGAATACGAACCCACCTTTTACCCACTACATAAAGCAACAATTTTTGTTCAAATAAGGAAGATCGATTCTTAGTAAGTCACCGTTCCGTGCTTCTATCCTCAGGATACTGAAATCCTTCTCCTCCACGCCGCAACCCCCCTCCGGGCTGGACAGGCAACTTTATCTCATGCGGGCTGCTCCCTTGGAGCGACACCGCTGCTCCTGAGGGAGCGCATCCCGTAGCCGGGTGCAGTGAGTACCTTGGGGCTGGGTGGCCTGTCCTCTGGACGGGCTCAGCCCCGGTGACTCACTAGGGTGCCTGCCCAGACCAATGTCTTCCCCTATATCCTATCATCCTCCCGGCTCTGAAATGGTCCCATTGGACCGAAAGGGCCTAACCCAACAAAACAAAACAAAACAAATCTTAGTAAGTGAATTGGCTTGATAAGCTACCGCCTATGAAAGCCATCAATAGACAACTTTCCGTCCATCCCACACAGCTCCCTCACTTTATTTCTGTATCACCCCGCTAAGTCCGCTTCCCACGTTGTGTCCTCCACTCACCATCATTTCGCTCTCGGGTTTGGGTTTGAACTCGGTGGAGCCGGGCGGGTAGTAGATGGGCGGCCCGGACACCGGCTTGGAGGCCGCCTGCGGCACCACGGCGCCCGACTTGGCGTCCAGCGTCACCTGCGTCTGCGTGTCCAGCAGTGGCTCCGTCTCGTGCACCGTGAAGTGGGTGGTGGTGGTCGACGAGCGGCCGTTGTTGAGCTCGCGCCGCACCGGGCCGCGCGGGTAGGTCCCATCCTGCCGGCCGGCGAGGGAAGAGTTAGTGAGGCGGCACTGTATCGGCGCCACGGCGCATCGGTGCAAATAAGAAATGCAGTGTTCTTTGCCGAGCCTAATGCAGTAGGTGCTGATGACAGATCAATCTAATGTCGACGACCATGCCTAGTTGCCTACTACCCCTCGCTTCTTGATTTTTACTTTACCACGCGCATTGATCCATACACATAAGCACACGCCCACCTAAAAAGACCCAATCGCGCCCAGTTAGCCTACTGAGCTGTGAAACAGATACACAGATCCGATACGACCCCCACCGCACTCAGTCAGCCTGCTCACCTGCGGAGTGTCGGGGATCTGGGCCATCAGCTCGTCCACGCGCCGCGGCGTGTCGATATCGTCCACGGGTCTGCGCGGCGAGCCGGGGAACGGCACGCGTGGCCCGTCGTCACGCTGCGGCCGTCGAGCCGACGGAGACGGACTGCGCGCCGGGAACGGCGAGCCGCGCGTCTGGGTGCGCTCGATAGTGGTGGTCGTGGTGCGTGTGTGGTGGCCCTGCGGCCCGGGGCCGTCGTCCACTGGGAACTTGGGGTACTGCTGGTCGTACGGCGAGGCCGGCCGGGCGGGGATCTCGCGCCCGTCCGGCCCGATCGTGTAGTGTTTGGTGGTGGTGGAGGTCGAGTGGAGGACATTCGGTCCGTTCGGTCCGTTGGGTCCGCCGGGGCCGCCGGGGCCGGACGGGCCGCTCGGAGAGCTCGGCCCGGACGGGTGCCGCTGCGGCGCCGTGTTGTGCGTGTGCTTCTCGAACACGTACGAGTTGCTGACGGTGGTGTCGGGCCCGGGCGCCGGGGAGCGCGGCGCCGGCGGGCTGGTCTCGCGGTACTGGTGCGAGCTGGTGCTGGTGTTGGTGCTGGTGACCACCTCGCGGCGCGGCAGGGTGCCGGAGCCGGGCGGCGGCGCCACGCCCGGCGGCAGCACCGGCTGCCCGTCCGGACCCAGCGTGCCGTAGTTGTAGATGTGGTAGTTGATGGTCGTGTTGGAGCCGGCGGGGACGGGCGGCGCCGGCACGCCCGGCGGCAGGGTGCTCTGGTCAGAGCTGTACACATACGTGGTGGTCTTGTCGGTGGTATCGGGCGGCGGCGCCCGGTCCAGAGTGCTGGTGGCACTCGTGTACTCCCTCCTGTCCACGGTAGAGCGCGCGCTCTCCGGCGGCGGCAGGGTGCGTGTCGGAGCCGGCGCCGGGGCCACCGCCGGCTGCGGGCTCACGTCGCGCCGGTTCGAGCTGCGGTACTCGTACTTGGTGACGCGCGTGGTGCCGGCCACCGGCGGCTCGCTGAGCTCGGGCACCAGGCCGCGGTCCAGGCCGTCCAGCGGGTTCGGTGACGGCGAGTGGCGCGGCCCGGTCAGGCCCAGGGTGGTCAGCTGGTCACCGGGCGTCGGCTGGCGCTCCCCACCCGGCCCCGAGCTGGTATACCGGCTGGTCTGGGTCGTCTTCTGAATGTTGGTGTGACGGTAGGGCGTGCTGGTGCCCGCCGGACCGTCGAAACTGGCGGAAACAACGGGATGAAAAGGTAACACAGAGCATGAGACAGGGACGTGCTAAAGGTACGATAAAAAATGACACATTCGGGCTTGGATGAATTGATACAGATATATCACATATTCGTGCTAATATTTAGTGAGATAACAGGTATATTATATAAAAAGTTTCGTTATAAAGGAAGTACATAGCAATGTTATTTTCCTTCGCTCGTTCATGGCCCCAAAAAGGTGCTTTACTGAACGGAACAGCTAAAACAAAGCATAATTTGTAGCATTTTCTATAACAACCAAAATCAGCTCGATAAAACAAACACATCGCTAAGAAGGTATTCCAATTTTCAATGCTACACAAACGATCACGGTGCCCAGCTGGAAGCGCCGGGCTACGGCTACCACCTGCCGCCGGTGGTAGACACCTGCCGTGTGTGTATTTACATCCCGGGGAGGGGCGGTACCGCGCCGATAGCAAGCGGTGGAATTCAGCAGTAGGTGGCTAACACCGGGCGCGAAACCCACGGTCTGATCAAACATCCGGCGGGGAGGGGAGGGGTGAGTTGGCTGGGTGCACTCAGTGAGTTGGCTGGGTGAACTCAGTAAGTCGGCTGCAGCGAGCCCCCAGGCCATCTGCCGGCCGACTCACCGACTGGCTGGCTGGTACCGGGTTCTCCCACGATCAACAAAGGAGCGACACGGACCCGCTCAATGGGACCGGGCCTAGCACCGTCCGGCAACCTTTGACAACGCCCAGGCCACCCTCTCAGATACGAGGCTTGTACAATACGGTCGGTCTAACGCCAGCCACAGACCTGATGACGCCGCCAGCCGCGGGCGACAGGGGCATAACGAAGACAAGTGATGAGTGCACAACAGACTGCACTAGCCATGAACCGGACTGGACGCCGCCCCGAGGAAGGCCATCAATGAGCCAGTACCTCAGTCTGAGTCTGCAAATTAGCGGCCGACAGAACAGCCCACGGCGGAACGGTGCATCAAATCACCGCGAGATTGTTCTGCCGGAGTGACGTGCAGTAGTTTTGGTTGGCTGCGCTTTATGGCATTAATCTGCAGTTTCTACGAAACTCAACAGTCAGGGCTGTTGTT